GGCAGCCTGGACCAGTTTGAGCTTAACCCCGGAAATCAGGCCTTTTCAGAGCAACCATGCAGTGACCCAGGGAGTGACCCACAGTTACCTTTACCTCAGTAGAATACTAAAATCTCCACCCATGGAGGAGCACAAGACTGCTTTACGTTTAACATACAACGTATGCATAAGCATGTTTCCTTAAGGAGCATGCACGACCTTATGCTAGCCTCTACATACTACAAGGCTCCCCTATCTAAATATTCATCCTAACCCTAAGTAAAAGAAACCCATTCATCCTTGCTTGGGGAGTCACAGCTTTGGAAGTTATTCCCCATGATCTCCCTATTTGCTGCAAATAAAGTTTCCTTTGTGCAACAACTCTACCCCATGTAGTTTCTACCTGTGAAACTCTACAGGAGTGAACTCAAAGTTTGTTAGGTTACAATAGCACCCACCTGTGCACTGTTCTAGGTCCAGGAGACAAAACAAAATCCTAACTTTCAGGGAGCATCCTTCCCAGTGGCAAAACACACATACACTTATGATTTTTTTTTATTGTATAGACATAATACAGTCTTATTTCCTATTTGTTATAATGTTCTTAACACAGCTTGATCTCTGCGAGGCGAATAGTAGTTAAAAAAAAAAAACACAAATCTTTAGTAGTCCCATATGCAAAATATTTGAGAATTCCAGGGTGCGTGGCTGGCTCAGCCAGTGGAGTAGTATGTGACTCTTGATCTCAGGGCTGTGAGTCCGAACCCCGCTCTGAGTGTAGAGATTAACTAAAAATAAATCCTTCGGACTGCGTGGGTGGCTCAGTCAGTTAAGGGTGCGCTATCAGCTCAGGTCAGGATCCTGGGGTCCTGGGATCAAACCCCATGTTGGGCTCCCTGCTCAGCAGGGAGTCTGCTTCTCCTTCTCCCTCTGCCCCTCCCTCCTCTCTCAATAAATAAGTAAATTTTTTGCACACTCTCTCAAATAAATCAATAAACTCTTTTTAAAAATAAATAAATACAATCTTTATGCTCCCCCCCAAAATTGAGAATTCCTGACCTGTGAAAAATCTCTCATTCTTTTCACTCATTCATTTTATTGACTTCTTAGTGACTATGAGGCACAATGGTGGGAACAAGACAAATAATTCCAGAAATCAGTCACTTTATAAATAGGGAGAAAATGCACACACACGCACATACCCCTCAAAAGGGAGAGAGAAGCAAAGTGCTATGTTGGAATTTAGAGGCAGAAGAACCACAAAGGAATCAGAAAACTTCCTAAGGGAATAGCACTGGAGCTGAGTAGAATTTTATCAGAAGGAAAATGGCAGCAATAAGCAAAAATATAGAGGATACATTTGGAGACACATTTAGTCTTTGGTTGAAACACAGGATACAAATGGATTAATGAAAGATAAAAACAGAAGAGTAATTCAGCACAAGGTATGAAATGCTTTTGACTTTCAAACAAAGGAACCTGAAGAAATTTTGAGAGGCAACAGAAAGGAACTGAAGGATTTGGTGTTAGGCGATCACAACTTCTGTGAAGTGCTGTGGCACACACTAGAAAACAAAGACTTGAGAAAATTATTGAGTGGTAAGGAAGTAAAGATAAGGCCTTCCAATTATTCAAGAAATCTGGTGGAAAAGAAAACTTTTCTTGACTTTTTTTTTTTTTAAGACTAATTTGAAAGTGGAGAGAGGCTAAGGGACTCTTCAAGCAGAGTCCCTGCTGAGTGAGGAGCCAGTGGAGGTGGGGCACGAGCCCAAACCCCTGAAGTTGTGACCTGAGCTGAAATCAAGAGTCCGACATGTAACCAATGGAGCCACCCAGGCACCCCAACCTCTCTTTACTTTCTGAGCAGGAAAGACTCAAACGATTTGTAAGTAGTAGGTTAGAGTCTTTAGAATGAGAAGTACTGAAGATACAAGAAAAAAACAAAACCATAGTATAAAATCCTAAAGAAGATAGAGAGGAATGACATCAAGCCCACAGTATCTATCTCGTCTGTTTGTTATCCTAAGCTCTGAGGTGGATAGGCCATTTGGCCTTGATCTCAGTGTCCTACAAGTTATAATTTAATGAGGTAAAAAAGAACCTAGTAAGTTCCTGTTTTTCTAAAAAAAAAAAAAAAAGGGGGGGGGCCCGGGGGGGCCGCGGGGTTAACCCCGCCCTCTGCTCGGGGCATGATCTCAGAGTCCTGGGATCGAGCCCCGCATCGGGCTCTCTGCTCTCTAGGGGAGCCTGCTTCCTCCTCTCTCTCTGCCTGCCTCTCTGCCTGCTTGTGATCTCTCTGTCAAATAAATAAATAAAATCTTTAAAAAAAAAAAAAAAGATCTAATGGGAAATGAGAATGAAAAAGAAACAGCAAAAGCAATGTCAGTTCTCAAGAAAAGTTGCAGGGTGATGGTGGTAAGCCAACTCCAAATTTATACTTCTTTGTGCTAGTTTTCTTTTAATATTTAAATCTTATTACTTAGAGCTTTTACTAATTATTTCTAATTGTGTCTTCTACAGTTTAAGGGAGCAAATTTACTTCTTCCAAAACAACCCTTCAGTATCTGAAAAGTGTTATTAGGTCTTCTAAAAAAAATTTTTTTTTTAGGTCTTCTAAAAATTTAACATTCCCAATTCTTCAATCATTTCTGGCATGACAATTTCCAAATTCCTCTCTATTCTTGTCAATCTTCTACACAGGAGATAGGTTTGCCTGAAAATATGGTACCTAGAATAGAACATAATATTCCTTAAGTAGCTGGATAACACAGAATAGAATAGAAACAGTAACCTCCTGGCTCTGGACACTAGGTTTCTATATTACAACCTAAAATACCATCTGATGTGTTTCTGAAGTGGCCATGTCACACTTTTGACTCAACTAAAACCCAAAGACATTTTCACATAAAATGAATATAATCTTTCTACCTAGTATTTATATACAATAGAACTGAACTCAACCTGAAATTTGCTATTAATCAAATGTGACAATGAATATAAAAAGTACTCACATATTTAAATTCTCTGTAAAAACAATAGCACGATGTTGACGATTGTTAAAGATCGGTTCTGAGTGCATGGGGTTCATTTTATTATCCTATCTACTTTTGTCTGTCTGTTTGTAATTTTCCATAACAAGATTTTTTTAAGAACTTTTTTTTTTTACAGATTTTATTTATTTACTTGAGAGAGAGCGCGCGAGAGCATGGGGTGGGGGAGGTGTTAGAAGGAGGAGAGAACCTCAAGCTGACTCTGCGCTCAACCCAACAGGGGGCTCGATCCCGCCACCCTGAGATCATGACCTGAGCCCAAATTAACAGTCAGAAGCTCAACTGAACCACCCAGGAGCCCCTTTAAGTACATACTTTTTTTTTTTTTTTTTCAAGATTTTATTTATTTGAGAGCGGGAAAGTGAGAGCGATTGGAGAGGGAGAGAGAGAAGCAGAGACTCGCCGGTGAGTAGAGAGCCCGATGTGGCGCTTGATCTTAAGTCCCTAAGATCATGTCCTGAGCCACAGGAAGACGCTTAACCATCAGAGCTACCCAGGCGCCCCAAATACATACTTTTAAAAAGAAATCTCTGTACAAATCTTCAAAGGTTCCCCTTCTTACATAATCTATTATGTCATCCTTACTTCTTTTTCCAGCCTCATCTTCCACTTTATACCATTTTCCAACTATACCAAGATTATCTTTTGTCTCTCTTTCACTGTATAAACTTTTGGTGCCTCCATGGTTTAATAGATACTCTTTTTTGATCCTTCATCCATCTAACAAAACCCTTTCTGCAAAGTTGAGTTTAAATATTACTTGTTAAGCCTGCACACCTCTAGCCTAGCAAAAAAAAAAACAAAAACAAAAACAAAACAAAACAAAAAAAAAAACCTAAACAAATAGACGGTGGCTATAAATGCTTACCAAAGTCAGTGCAACAATCTTAAGGGTTGGCTTGCCCAAGGTTACAGAACTCTGCTAAGCCAGAGCAGAGACTACAATCCAGTTCTCCTGAGTTCAAATCGAATAATCATTTTTCCACGTCCACGCATAACTTGATGATAACATAAACAAGTAGTAGGATTAAGAAAAGGTTTTTCTCATCACCCTAATACTTACTCTACCAATGGACCAGTGTTTGCTGCTCACACGTCAAAAGAAAACAACAGCGTTCTCTTTCCCCCACTAGCTACGTGGAAGGAGGAGGAAAAGAGAAGGAAGCAAGCAAAAATTACAGATACTATGCTAAGAGTAACAGGAGATTCCACCATTCCAGAACAGGATCGTTCTACCCAAGACGTAATAATCCGAGAATTCCTCAGAGAAACTCGTCAGAGAAATGGAGACTCACTCATAAATGCATCGTGCATTCGGCGCGCTTTGTACCCACCGCTGCACACGGTCCCTACGCACAAGAAGCTTTCTAGTGGAACCAATAACTTTCTGGCAGCGATGTCTTTAATACTATATTCAAATTTCTCCAGGAGAGAAGCATCGGCAACCAATTTTTCCAAAGCAAGGTTGACTGACCAGCAGCACCGCTCAGCCCCGCTCCATCTCCAGGCCGGTAGCCCCCAATTCTCAGTGAATCAGACCCTCTCTCACGGCCAACCGCCGTGACACTCACCCAGCAACTAAAAGCGGTACAGACACTCCACAAGCAACTAAGAGCGACACCGGTGAGTCTTTCTCCCCTTCCGCACTTCCCGGCCCCCGGTTTACGTCATCCACAAGCGCCGAGACCGCGGGGACAACGCTATTAACGGTACTTCCTTGTCACGTGACGGGTTACGCCCCTGCTTGCGCGTGGTCCCTCCCCCTCCGGCCGCGGTCGCAATTACGCTCTCTGCGGCCTGCAGTTCACGGATTGCTGCTGGCCGAAGACGCAGCGCCAACGGGGACCGGAGAACGTTTAGGCTAAAGGGGTGAGCCAGCCAGGATCCCGGGACTTTTCACAGCTTGAGACCCGCGAAAGGAAATGAAACAGGCGGGAACCGGCGGGGGAGGGAGGGAACTAGCGGAAGGTGTCATGGCGGCCGCGCTCTGGGTCACGTGCCCGGCAGGCCCGCCTTGGTACTTCCGGTCACGTGCCCTCAGAGTCCTCGCAGCCAGCGATGGAGGCGAGACCCCCCAGTAACAGAGGCGGTGGCGACGGCGGTGGCTACTGGGTTTCAGCGTCTTCCCGGCAGCGTCTATAAGAAGCGCAGCGGAACTCGACCCGACTCAGCCCAGTTAATTTATTCCCTGCCCAAGGCCGTAGCTTCCACCTGGTAAGTTTAGACCGAAGAATGGGGGTGGGTGGGTGGGTGAGGAGCTGACAGGCCCGGGGGCCGCAGGACGGCGTGGATTCTGTTCCTTTTCCCTGTGTCCCTATTGCCGTCCCCACGACTCCTAAGCCTGGCATCTCGCTAGCCCTCAATTGTCCTGAAGCGGGGGATAGGCGACCCCTAATCTGCTGGCTTGTAGGAAGTCTGCCCCATTACTAAGAGCAAGGGACTCGAAGATTTACTGAAAGCCAGGATCAGACTTGGCTCCGGAGAATGAAGGACGTGGAGGCCTCTTCCTGACAGAGGATCCCTTTCCGTTAGGAAATGCGCTGTTAAGTCTTTCAGTTTCTGTTGCTTTGACCGTAGTGTCTGCACACCTTTTGCTTCATCTGTCAATCCTACCGCTTCTTAAAACCTTCTTAACACTTGTGCCAATCCACTCGACCATTTTTGGTCTGTTCCCAATCTGATTGTCTTGTAATGATGAAAAATAGAGCACCAACCCATAGAAATGTATAATTATTTTTATAAATTCCCCAATGTTCTCAGAGACAAAATTAACTAAGGGAGTATATTCAGTTGACTCTTAAACGCCCATTTTGGCGGCAAGTGGGGGGCGGGGGAGAGATATAAAAACTTACCCTTTTTGTCTATTAGAAGACCGAATTTTAAAAAAACATACAAAAACTCAGTGGTTTGAACTACACCTTGAAGTAAGTATTTATTCCATGAAGGAGTAGAAGTTTCTCTCCATGAATTCTTACTGTGAACTCCAGTATACAAAACAGCATTCCATGGTGGAATTGGATTTGGGATGGCTAAGCCCCACCCAGTCGGCTTCCCCTCTTGGAAGAGTTTGAAAACCACTTAACTGAGCTTTGGTAAATAAGCCAAAATTGCCAACCCTAAAATGGATTTTAAAGTCAAAACTACAGCAACTGAGATGGAGAAGTCACACCAGAAGGGAAGATAATCTCCAGTATCAGGGCTATGGCTTACAGAAGGACTGGGCTCTGGAAAGAACTTTGTACCTTTTAACAGACCTACATCCCTCATTTGGGAAGGAGGGAGAGAGAATTTGAGGCCATTAAACCTGGTTTTTTTGCCCTCACTCAGCTGACATCTAGCAGTGCAGCAGATTAAAAGTGTGAGTTTCTCTTAGGTGATATTATATACATAGAGTCGTGCAAATGTAAATTAGCCATGGAAATGCAGGGAGAGCTTTTTAAAAATACTAGGAATATTGGTGCAGAGAGGAGTCTGTTTAATAAACCAAATGATTGGCTTCCTGCATGGAGGCATTTATCTTCTGCCTGCTGGTTTATCTTTCCGCCTTTTAGCCTTGCTTTTCTGTGCTGCTGGGGTTTTTCCCTCCTAATACCAGACTGAGCTTTCCTAGCATTTTGACCACTATTTGTACCTTCTGGATATGGCTACTAGAGGTGTCTTATGCCCTTCCTCTTTTCTCTCTTAGCCTGTCTTCAGTGTGGCAGTATCAGGCATCCAACTAATAAGTAATATCTCTCCCTTCCCCACTTTGATTACCAACTGATTGCTCTCTCATTTTGATGTAGTACTCTTGTCGGCATGCAGTATTTATTAGTGAATATGAGCATACATTTCGTTCTGTCTTGGTCTCTGTCGCATTTCCTCCTCCTGCCTCTCCCTGCACTGCTGTAAAATGAAAAAGTGCTTGGTCTCAAAATTGCTACATCAGTTATTCCCCTTAATAGCTTCATTGTGTGTGTAACTTTCATTAAAATGGTCAATTTTGTTCGCTTTTTACATACTTCCGAGGTCTTGTTCCCTGTAATGCTGAATTGTTAAAATTTTTTTGGATTGCCTCATAGCAAGCAGCATTCCAGATCTCCATTTTGTATGCTGGCAGATACAGCAGCTCTCTCTAATAATAATTCTCCTTTAGAAGCTGATACAGAGTTTATATTTCACCTGTTGTCCTTGTTTCTGCCCCATTTGTCTCTGCACATTAGAAAGAGATGTAATCTAAAGGTTTCTGTTGATCAGTTTCAAATTTTTCCTATCCCTGTTTCCTTATAAGCCAGTTATTGGGATCTCTGAGGAATGATACTGTAATCTCTGAGTAAAGAGCTATAATGCTTCCTGGAGGTTAGCCAAGGATATATGTGTAAAGGTGTCTTATGTATCTTACTAAGCTGGTGTTCTTTCTTTTTTTTTTTTAAGATTTTATTTATTTATTTGACAGAGATCTCAAGTAGGCAGAGAGGAGGAAGCAGGCTCCCCGGTCAGCAGAGAGCCCGATGTGGGGCTCGATCCCAGGACCCCGGGATCATGACCTGAGCTGAAGGCAGAGGCTTTAACCCACTTTAAGCCACCCAGGCACCCCCAAGCTAATGTTCTTTTAACAAGAAGGACTTTAAGTAGACATCATGTAGGCCTAGACTTCATGTAGGCCGAATAGGTGGCTGGGTGCTGTACTACAGTGATTACATGCATCCTCTTCCCTTTATGAAGCTTGTAGTCTGTCAGTGGAGACAAGCATTAAAAGAATTACTTTAGAAATTAATTATAGGGGCACCTGGGTGGCTCAGTGGGTTAAGCCTCTGCCTTCGGTTCAGGTCATGATCCCAGGGTCCTGGGATCGAGCCCCACATCGGGCTCTCTGCTCAGCAAGGAGCCTGCTTCCTCCTCTCTCTCTGCCTGCCTCTCTGCCTACTTGTGATCTCTGTCAAATAAATAAATAAAAATCTTAAAAAAAAATTAATTATAGTTGGGATAAGTGCTATCCAGAGAACAGAAAGTCTTGTCTAGTAATTTTGAAACTTAGTACTCTAACTACCAAAAAAATGATTAAAAGCCAGTTGATAAGAAAGGAGGAGAATGTGCAAAGGCTCAGCAAGGCATGTACATTTACTTCAAGCAAATATTTAACTGCAAATGAATTAATCCCTTTACTGGAGGATCTTGCTATTTAAAGTAGTCTTGTGGCAGATAATTTCATAAAGTAAATAATCTTTTAAGCAGGGGCACCTGGGTGGCCCAGTTGATTGAATGTCCAAGTCTTGGTTTCAGCCCAGGTCATGATCTCCGTCTGGATCCTGGGATCGAGACCCGCTCTGTGCTCAGTGAAGAGTCTGCTCGTCTCTGTCCTTCCCCCTCTACCACTCTGCCTCGCCCCCTAACTCCCCCCCACTGCACGATCTCACTCTAATAAATAAAGATAAAATCTTTAAAGTCAGCAAGAGAGAGGGAGAGAGCACAAGCAGGCAGAGTGGCAGGTAGAGGCAGAGAAAGAAGCAGGCTACCCGCTGAGCAAGGAGCCAGATGTGGGACTTGATCCCAGGGTCCTGGGATCATGACCTGAGCTGAAGGGAGAGGCTTAACCGACTGAGCCACCCAGGTGTCCCTAAAAAAATAATCTCTTAAGTAAAGCTAGATCTTCAAGCTGATTTGTTGAGATGGAGCTAACCAATATTTTTCATAAACAATACATTCTGTGGCTCTTACAGAGGTTTATTGGGAAGAAGTTTTTGCTTCTTTCTAGAAGAGAAGGAGCCATCTTCAAGAAAAATCTGGAAATCACAGAAGACATTGTAGGATATCCCCACCAATTTTATTAAACTTTCTAAAACTGGTCTTGAGCAATTAACAGAGGTGCTACAAATGAACAAGGAAATTTGCCAAGCAAGTTAGCTGTGAGACAATTGGCTAGTCATCCCAATGTTCAGTTACTTATCTCTGATTTATTTTGAATGTTTTCCCAAATGTATTTTATTTTATTTTATTTTTTAAGATTTTATTTATTTATTTGATAGAGATCACAAGTAGGCAGAGAGGCAGCAGGGAGAGAGGGAGAAGCAGGCTCCCCGCTGAGCAGAGAGCCCAATGTGGGGCTCGATCCCAGGACCCCGAGATCATGACCTGAGCTGAAGGCAGAGGCTTTAACCCACTGAGCCACCCTGGCATCCCACCAAATGTATTTTAATATGAATGGTTTTACGTGCTGGTGACTGACTCTAATGGTTCTCTCCATCCCCTGATTTATTCTCCATTTTACAGTTTCTCTGTCTTCATTCATCTTTTCTTTCTTACCTTCTTGTCTCAGAAAAGTTTTTTCTGTTCTTTTCCAAAGCTAGCACTTTTTATTTGTGCCTATAAGCTCAGTTAATTGGAGACTTGCTCTATCAGCTAGTGGTCCTTGCTCACTGCTTTTTTCCCATATATGGACATACTTAAAATTGTCTTACAATTGTCTGCTTTCCCCTGTCCATAAAGCTTCCCCTCCTATCTTTCAGATTTTGATTCATGTTTCTTAAAATGTGGTTTGTATAGTATACAGTGTAACTTCTGATAGTACAGACTTTTTAAACTTATTAATTGTATTGTAATGAATATAAAAATTAGTATTAAAGTATTAAATAGTTCATGAATGTTATAAATTTTTCTTTATACATTAAGGTTTTTTTTAAATGTTAACAATGCATATTTTTTTAAAAATTTTATTTATTTATTTGACAGAGAGAGAGGGATCACAAGTAGGCAGAGAGGCGGGGGGCGGGGAAGCAGGCTCCCTGCTGAGCAGAGAGCCTGATGTGGGGCTTGATCCCAGGACCCTCGGATCATGACGTGAGCCGAAGGCAGAGGCATAACCCACTGAGCCACCCAGGCGCCCCTATACATTAAATTTTTAAAGTAAATAAGAAACAATTGATATGTATTACAGAAATATACAAAATAACAATTGTTTTCTTACACTAACGCTACTAACACTTTTTTCCATGTTACCTTATAAACCTCTGGCTTGATAGGGAATAAACTCTTGGAAAGACTTTCTTAAAAACTATTTTTCTCATTATAAAATATGTATTTATTGGGGCGCCTGGGTGGCTCAGTGGGTTGGGCCGCTGCCTTCGGCTCAGGTCGTGGTCTCAGAGTCCTGGGATCGAGCCCCGCATCGGGCTCTCTGCTCAGCAGGGAGCCTGCTTCCTCCTCTCTCTCTGCCTGCCTCTCTGACTGCTTGTGATCTCTCTCTGTCAAATAAATTAAAAAAAAAAAAATCTTAAAAAAAAATATGTATTTATTATAGGGGCACCTGGGTGGCTCAGTGGGTTAAAGTCTCTGCCTTCAGCTCGGGTCATGATACCATGTCCTGGGATCGAGCCCTGCATTGGGCTCTCTGCTCGGCGGGGAGCCTGCTTCCCCCTCTCTCTCTGCCTGCCTCTCTGCCTACTTGTGATCTCTGTCAGTAAATAAATAAAATCTTTGAAAAAGAAAAAAAAATGTATTATTATAGATAATCCAGAAAACAAAAAGAACATTCAAGTCGTCTGTAATTCCATCACCAGTAGGTAACCACTATGAAGTTGGGTATATGTCCCTCCAGTTACATATATTTGCAAAATAGCATGGTGGAACTCCAAGGTCAGGCTGACCCAGATTCAAACCTTCTACTTCCTTGATGCATTGGGAAAGCATCTTGATTTTTTTTAGACCCAGTTTCCTTTATCTGCAGAATAGAACTAATAATAGAACCTACCTCGGGATTGTTAACTGGGGACTGAATGAGATAATACCTATAAAGAACTTAGCCCAGTGCCTGGCACATGTTAGTAAGCATTGAGTACTTTTTTTTCTTTTAATGTAAGCTCTGCACCCAGCGTGGGACTTGAACTCATGATTTATTTAAGACCCAACTCATGATTAACATAGGTATAAGAAAGAACAAACTACTGATACGTGAAGTAATGTGGTGCATTTCAAAAAACAGGTTAGGTGAAAGGTCAAAGACAGTACATGGTGCATGGTTCCATTTGTACGAAAACTTAGAAGAGACAGAAACTAAACTGTGGTGATAGAAATCAGAAAATAGTTGTTGGAGGGTGAGAGAAAGAGAATTGAATGGAAAGGAACGTGAGAGAATTTTGGGGGGTGGCAGAAATGTTCTCTGTCTTGTTTTGAGTAAAGGTACATGCATGTATACAATTGTTGAAATACATCAAATAGACCACCTAAAATGTACACATTTTGGTGATTTGATAATTATACCTGAAATTTTTTTTAATAAATTTTTATTTTTTTATTAACATACAATGTATTATTTGCCCCAGGGGTACAGGTCTATGAATCGCCAGGTTTATACACTTCATAGCACTCACCATAGCACATACCCTCCCCAATGTCCATAACCCAATCACCCTCTCCCTACCCGACTCCCCCCGGCAACCCTCAGTTTATTTTGTGAGATTATGAGTCTCTCATGGTTTGTCTCCCTCCCGATCCCATCTTGTTTCATTTATTCCTTTCCTACCTCCCAAACCCCTGACGTTGCCTCTCAACTTCCTCATATCAATGAGATCATATGATAATTGTCTTTCTCTGATTGACTTATTTCGCTCAGCATAATACCCTCTAGTTCCATCCACGTTGTTCCAAATGGCAAGATTTCATTTCTTTTGATGGCTGCATAGTATTCCATTGTGTGTGTGTGTGTGTGTGTGTGTGTGTGTGTGTGTGTGTGTGTGTGTGTATACACCACATCTTCTTTATCCTTTCATCTGTTGACGGACATCTAGGTTCTTTCATAGTTTGACTATTGTGGACATTGCTGCTATAAACATTTGGGTGCACGTGCCCCTTTGGATCACTACATTTGTGTCTTTATACCTGAATTTTTTTAATCGCACTAAAAAAAAATCTATGACAAACCTTTGGCAAAACCTCCTCTGTGAGGAAATGGCCTCTGAGTCGTAATTCAGAACATTTTTTTTTATCTCCCTTTAGGAACTTCACACATTCTAATTTGTATACACTGATACATATCTTACTCACTAACTGGAAGCTCTTTAGAAGCAAAAATCATGGGGCACCTGGGTGGCGCAGTGGGTTAAGCCTCTGCCTTCAGCTCAGGTCATGATCTCAGGTTCCTGGGATCGAGCCCCACGTCGGGCTCTCTGCTTGAGAGCGTGCTTCCTCCTCTCTCTCTGCCTGCCTCTCTGCCTACTTGTGATCTCTGTCAAGTAAATAAATAAAATCTTAAAAAAAAAAAAAGACAGAAATCATTATTGTCACACATTCATCTTTGGATAACCCTAAACTTGTTGGATCGGAACAAATTTATTGAATGATAAGTATTCACATTGACCCTTTTTTCTTCCTATTCCTTAGGTAGAGTAGCTTGCTAATATTTGGCTACTCAAAATTCAGAAAATTAACTTCAGAGAAATTAAGATTTCACTTTTCACTTGTATTTTTTATTTCTAAATTACTGCTTGAGTGAATTTTTTGATTGTAGCTACAGTTGTGGGCATAACTTGTCAGATTACTATATTATACATATGTGTGAAACTAATGTAATACCATGTGTCAACTACAATTAAAGTGTTTTTAATCCAGTCATATTTTTCATTGATCCTAAGAGGTAATGGAAGAATCGGTGATTTCCATTATTTTTATTTTTTTTCCTTTTTTTTTTAAAGCCTGCTACTCTTCCTGATGCTTACTTTCCGACTATGTCCAAATAGAAGTGTTCCTCAAGTATTTGAATAACTAATGGCGGATTCAGTATTTCATTGTTCCTAATTGTTTTAACTTCCAGGAAAAGGGTTTCTTTAAAGTTTTGCTTGTTTGCTCATGGCAAATTTAATTTTTAGACCTAGATACATTAATTTCTCTGAAATTGTATTTTAAGCTATCCCTGAAGAAGTAACTTTAAATCATTTCTTTGGAAATTAAAACTTAAAGTCATAACTTCACCAGAAATGACATATATGGGGCATTTGTGCTATCACTTTCCCCATCTCAGCCCATGAGAGACATTGCCATAGATCATGGCTTCTTTCCTGTTAAGCCCATACAGCCTCACATTCCTTTCCAGCCTAGCCTAGCTACACCCAAGCCGCAAGGATTTGGGTTGAATCTTTAAGATTCCCAGGACTAGGGGCACCTGGGTGGCTCAGTGGGTTGGGCCGCTGCCTTCGGCTCAGGTCATGATCTCAGGGTCCTGGGATCGAGCCCCGCATCGGGCTCTCTGCTCGGCAGGGAGCCTGCTTCCTCCTCTCTCTCTGCCTGCCTCTCTGCCTGCTTGTGATCTCTGTCTGTCAAATAAATAAATTTTAAAAAAATTATTAAAAAAAAAAAAAAAAAGATTCCCGGGACTGGGAAGGAAGGGGTAGAGGTAGGGAGACTAAAAGCTGTTTCCTAGGTAATGAATTAGCTATATACAAGTGAATTTTCAGCCCAAACCTGGAGAACAGTTGAAGACATTTGCTTGTTAAAAGATCGGTGAAATAGCATCTGAAATGTTAAGGGTTAAAAGTTTTGTTTTAAAGCACACAGGAAGAAACTTAGACCAGGAATCAGGAAATGTGGGTGTGCTATCAGCTCTGAGAGTGGTTCTGGGAAGATCACCCAAACCCTGTGGCACTTAGTTGTTTCAGCTGAAACAAAATTGAACTAAAGTTCAGTAGGGTTCTAATTCTCGATATAGATTAGATAAAAGACCAGCATATCTGTAGTCAAATCATACATTTAAAACTTAGGAATATTATGGGGGAACTAAAAGTAAAATATAAAATAGTCTGAATAGAATATGTAGAAATGGTTTAAGAACTTCCGAGTGTCATAAACTGTGTTGTGTAAATTCACACCTATGATATCAGTGGTTAAATTTGATTTTAATAAATAATGCCATACAACTTTATCTTCAACTTTCAATCAGGGACTTTTTTCCTTCTCATTATTAGTTTAGGTTTAGATTTGGAAAGGACTCCAGAAGTCAACAGATCTAATCTTAATTGAGATGTGAAGTCTTTTGTCTCGGTTAGCACTTTCTAGGCATCATGGCAACTTCATCTGAAGAAGTTTTGCTGATTGTGAAGAAGGTGCGTCAGAAGAAGCAGGATGGAGCTTTATACCTCATGGCAGAAAGAATCGCTTGGGCACCTGAAGGCAAAGATAGATTTACAATCAGCCATATGTATGCAGATATTAAATGTAAGTCAGCTATACTAAGGTCTGATGGAAGATTTGTTAGTCTTTTATAAAAAGATTGCTCATACCGTCTTTGTGGGGTTTTTCATTATAGTTTCAAAAAAAATCATATTGAAGTATATATAAAGTGGGTTCCCTGAATATATGTTATTCTGTAACCTGTGATTAATAATGGAGTTTGTATAGTTTTATGTATGTAAATCTACGTCATGTAAAGATCTCCACGTGAACCTTCTTTTAGGAGTTGCATAATAGCCCACTAAACGGATATAGTCATGTATTTAATTAATTTTCTGTTGAAGGACAGCTAGGAAGTTTCCATGATTCTTTTAATGCAAACAGTACTGCAGCATAGTTCTGTGGGCTAATATCTTTGTGAAGTTGTATGTGTGAGGTACATCCTGAGGTAGATTTACTGGTTCAGATGGTTCATGCATTTAAATGCGTTAAAATGATGGATTATGGCAGATTGCCCTTTAATAAAATTGTATCATTTAAGCAAGTTGTCTAATTAATCTTTGGTTATGTGGCCACCATCTGTTGAGAAGATAGACTCACTTTTTTTTTTTTTGACTCACTTTTTTATTGGACATAGATAGGAGATATACAGAGAGTATCCTTAGCAAATTGTGGTATCTGAACTATAACCATTAATGCAAATTCATTTTTTTTCTTTGATATAAAATTCTTCCCCTAGATAAAATCCTGTGTAGATTTCAAGGAACATGACACCTCAAAAAATAGTCAACCTTACACATTCAAGGGCTCAATTTATAAATGTTCTTTGTGTGTGAACAGTGGCCCTAAGAACTTACCTCCACTTGCTGCTGGAAATGACCAAGATTTTCTCTGTCTCCACTGAAACAACTTAGATTTTTAACTTTCAAAAGGAAATACTGTTTAAAATTCATCATAGTTAGGTATTGCCTAAGCTAGCTGGTGTTTTGTCCACTATTCTGGTAATACTACCTCCTTTCAAAATTCTGTGGAAAAGTGCCTCACCAAGTTCCTCCTAGTATTCTTACAAACTAAAATTTGTACCAGAAGAAACTCATAAATTAGGAACTGCCTCTATTAGCATTTCTCTTAAACAGGAAGCTGATCCTGTAGCTCTGCAAAACACACACTCATTGTGATACCCACAACATACAATAAAGAATATATGTTTTTCCTATTTCTCAACAATTTTTCTGTTATTGAGAATGAGAGCACAGACCCAAATCTACATCTGCCCCAGATCAGTTTTTGTTTTAAGTTGAATATTTGAAATAATACCCATTTCTGAAAGAATCCACTGAAAGTTACCAGTAGTAAATTACTAAGGTGAAAATCAGCAGTTAAGTAACCTAATTAAAAAACTTAAGGGGGCATCCAGGTGGCTCAGTCAGTTAAGTTGCCTTCAGCTCAGATCATGATCCTGGGTTCTGGGATCAAGCCCCACACTGGGGTCCCTGCTCGGCAGGGAGCCTGCTTCTCCCTCTCCCTCTGCCTGCTGCTCCCCCTACATGTGTTCTCTCTTTCTCTCTTTCAAATAAATAAAATCTTAAACAAAAAAAGCCAATTCAGAAGTACGCCTTTCAGAGGCGAAGTCTAAGATGGTGAAAGGATAAAGCAATGACTGAGAAAAGATGCCTAGAAAGGGGTGGTAGTTTTGGAGAAACAGAATAGAAGACTGGAGTAGGCTGGCTGACAGTGTAAATTGCCCTGTATTGCTGGTTTTGGTTTTAAGATATTTTATCCAAACTGTTGGGTCTGGAAGCTGCATCTTTATTGAAAAAGTTTGTTTAGGAGATAGGTGGTTTGGGTTGTGAGCTCTAGGGAGCTTGTTTCACACTTCCAAGAGTCTCCAATTTCATGGGACCAAGCCCCTCCATCTCTCTCTCTTCCTCTGACAGAGACAAGATCTACTATTGCCATGAGGCCCACTAGTTCAGAAGTACAATTTCTCCATTATGTTGGTGTATTTTGACATTCCCAGCCTCAGCTTATTATGAAAAGTTTCAAAGTTAAAGAAAAATTTTAAGAATGGCACAGTACATACCTATACGATATGTCCCACTTAAGATTCCGTGTGCATACACTTTGCTAGGTAATATTTTCACACCAAGAAATTTTTAATCGTAGAATATCCAGAACACTGTTACATTTCCCTAGTTGTCCCAATGTTTTCTGTAGCATTGATTTTTTTTTTTTTTTAACCAGTCTAACTTCACAGATGGAGTTGTAGTCTCTTCAGTCTTTATAGGCTTGTCACATATGTTCTGATTGTTTGCTTGTCTCAAGGTTTTCTTTAATTTATTTGTGTAGGCCTGTATTTCTCAGAAACTGAAAATCACGTCTACAGGCTTGATTGTACTCAGATTAAACCCTCACAGCAAGAACAACACATGGGTGGTGGTGTTTACTTACTATTCTATCCCCGCAGAAAGCCAATAGTGTGAGGTTGTGACACCCACTTTGGAAGAGACTAAGTTTCATCACTTGGTTGAAGTGGTGACACCACATCTCTCAAATGTAAAATTATGTATTCTTCTTGGCAGTGAGGGAGAAGGGTGTGTTTTGGAGTTTTTTAAATTATGACAGATCATTTTTATTAATGATGTTTTTTGGTGTCAGATGTTCAGGGTGGGTTCAGGACTCCTAGTTGGCTATTTAGAGATCTGCCCCGGTTGAATGGAAACAAAAGCCCTTTAGTATCTTGAGGTGGAGGCAGTGGGTGAGAAGTGCCACACAAAGAGGATACTGAAGAAGGAAGCAGAGTGTTAGCAGTGCAGTTGTTAAACTGTGCTCTGATTATATGGGATTATTTGAGAAGAGGGTATTTCTGCAAAAGCATTAAGATTGGAACAGGGCAGCTAAAGCCCAAAGGAATTCTGAATCTTCTTGGGAGGAGAAGCAGCCTATTGTAGGACAGTTTCCAGTTTGGGTGTCCTCATCTAATTTGTCTCATGCTTCTTTTTAGGCCAGAAAATCAGTCCAGAAGGAAAAGCTAAAATTCAGCTTCAGCTGGTGTTGCATGCAGGGGACACAACTAACTTCCATTTTTCCAATGAAAGCACAGCCGTCAAAGAGCGAGATGCAGTAAAAGACCTTCTTCAGCAGCTGCTGCCCAAATTCAAGAGGAAAGCAAATAAAGAGCTGGAAGAGAAAAACAGGTGAAGGGGGAAAAGAATAAAGACATGTAACAGCTTGTTATTTCTTATCCCTTGTGCTGCATTAAGTAATTTAACTGCCTCAAGGCTAACATCTGACAGGGAACACAACTGAGACTCAAAGGTGATAAGGTCCTTTTATTCCTTCTCCCAGTTCTCTGTCACAAAGATGACATGAAACCATTAGAAGTGTGTTTGTGAATGAGGAACCTGAGAGAAATCACATTGTAAAAAAAGTTGAAAATGCATATAAAATAATGAGTTTCTGATAAGACCAATGATTCCATCGCCAGTATCTTGCAGGCCATCCATGCTTAAGTCTCCAAGTGCTTATCCGTGAGAAATTGGTAGCCGGAAAATCTCAACCATACCTCCTCTCTCCCCTTTCACCTTCATTTGTGAAAGAGAATACAGTACAGACAAATACATGGTGATCTTGCTGTCACTAGATAGATGAATAACACCAAATCTGTACCCTCAAAGAGTTTAGTCTTTGCTTCTTCAGACTTCCATTTATCTTCATTTGTTCCTCCAAAAATGTTTTTTCTTTTAATTACTAACAAATGAACTAAATGACCTCTGCTGCTCTAGCCTCATAAAAGGTTGAGTGTCTCAGGGTTTCATGTTCTTAAGGTCTTTTTAAAGTGTTACATAAATAGCATTTTATTCTAGAAGTTCAATATATTCAATATATTCTATCACCAGAATGCTGCAAGAAGATCCTGTTTTGTTTCAGCTTTATAAAGACCTTGTTGTGAGTCAAGTGATCAGTGCTGAGGAATTCTGGGCCAATCGTTTAAATGTGAATGCAACAGAGAGTTCTACATCCAATCATAAGCAAGACGTTGGCATTTCTGCAGCATTTCTGGTATGTTACCCTTCCAGATTTCTGAAGGGAAAAGAAAAAAAAGAAAGTCCTGGTATATGTGTTAACAGTGCCATTTCTTTTGTAAAACTTAGCATTTCCTTAAAGTAAATCAGTGGCACTTTGCTATCTATGGTATTCTTCTAAAGTATTTTAAAAATATATGCAATATTGGGACCCTTGGGTGGCTTAGTCAGTTAAGTGGCTACCTTCAGCTCAGGTCATAATCTCAGGATCCTGGGATAGAGTCTCACCTTGGGCTCACTGCTCGGCAGGAAGTCTGCTTCTCCCTCTCCCTCTGCTGTTCCCCTGCTTGTACTCTCTCATTCTCTCTCTCTCAAATAAATAAATAAAAATTAAAAAATATATATAAATGCAGTATTTTTTAAATAGATACTTTTTGCTAGCTGTACTTTTTTGGTTTGGGGACTTCACCCTAACATGCTGGAAATTAAATGGACCTTAATTAAATAGAATCTTTTAGCAACTGGACTAATACTTGTTTCCCCTAATTCTTTTAAATTTAGAACTTTCTGGTAAGTGTCTTTACGATTGCTGTATTTGTAATGCAGAGTTAAATGTATTACAGAAGAAATAAGATTTATAAAATGTATTTTAGTGAAAAATTGGGAATACCTTACCTGTAGAATTAGAAAGTGACATTCATTTAGTTTATACCCTGGTGGAACCAAAGCGGTATTTATGCATTTAACAAAAACTTGAGTACCAGTTATATATTTAGTATCTTCCTGGTTGCTTAGTAGTGAATTGAATTAATAAGCCTTTTCCTAAAGAAACCAGTCAGATAATATTGATTTAGTAACCAAGGTTTATAGTTGTTTTGGTAACTCTACAAGTATTATGGTAAAGCTCCTCTAGCTGTCTGCCTTTGGCCACACTTAAAAATACCTGTTTGACCATGTTGAATTTTCAAGGAAGCAGATTTTACACATAAGTAATATTGTGTGAAACCAAGCCAGGTTTCTTTGAGTCCTCTCCCAATGCCAACAGTTAAGAGTGAGGAACTTAATTTCTGTCTCTAGTTTATTCAGAAAGTCTGTTTTGCCACCTTTGTCCAGTGTCTATTATGAGCTTACACATCTTCCCTCAATATTCTAATGAACATATATGTGTGGTCTTTATTTTAGGCTGATGTCCGGCCCCAAACGGATGGATGCAATGGTCTGAGATACAATTTAACTTCTGATATCATTGAGTCCATATTTAGGACCTATCCAGCAGGTAAAAAGAATCCATTTTTCCATATAGTTGAAATATTTCAGGCACCTGGGTGGCTCAGTGGGTTAAGCCCCTACCTTCGGCTTAAGTCATGATCTCAGGGTCCTGGGATCGAGTTCCGCATCGGGCTCTTTGCTCGGCAAGGAGCCTGCTTCCACCCCTCTCTCTCTCTGCCTGCCTCTCCGCCTACTTGTGATCTCTCTCTGTCAAATAAATGAATAAAATCTTTAAAAAGAAAGAAAAATATTTCTTTGGATGAATTCAGTAATACATCAGTGAAAAACAAAAAGCTTTACCTTTTATTCCTGATGAAGTGCAATAAAATACGTGAAAACATATGGTAGTTACTAATGGGTCAGTATATGATGTGCTGTCATCAGTTACATTAGTATAATGACTTTCCCATTCTTCCATCAGCGGCTCTTAAACTTTATTTACCCTTTAGTATACCTGCACAAAATGATCTGCTCCAGAGGCATCAATAAATGAGTTTCTCCTGCTGTAATTCAGATCATCCTTTAGGCTGCCTCCAGAGTGACCTTTCTAACACACTGATCCTAACCCTTGCAGAAACCATCCTAAAAGTATAAATGACTTGATCCCAGCCTTACTCATTTATGCTGTGCAGCCAAGGTTGAGAGTCACCACTTCAATTATTCTGCTGACTAAACAGTTCTCTCTCCACACTTCCTCACTCCTGCTCTCTGTTACTTCTTTGGAAATATATATCGAGAATCCTTAAGGCTTAAGTATTTGCCCCACTGCCACCTCTATAAAATCCTGACTTCTTTGGGTAGGTACAAGCCTCCCCTTTGCTTCCGTAGGAACTTGTGTCTGCCTCAAAAAGTTACTAAATTGTAATTATTTTCATATTTTTCTGATAGTAATAATTATATGGCGTTTATTACATATCAGACACCATTTTAAGGTCTTTATCTATATTAACTCATTTAGTCATTACAAATAACCCTATGAAGTGGGTGCTCTTATTACCTTCACATGACAGAAGAGGAAGTCAAAATACAGAAAGATTACGTAATTTGCACAAGATCATACAGATGATAAGTGGCAGGCCTAGAATTTTAAATTCGGGCTCTCTGGCTCAAGAGACTCATGCTCTTAACTTCTTTGCTGATTAGACTGTGAGCTTCTGGAATGTGCTGAACTGATAGTCTGTTGGGTATTGATTCTTGGTACTTCTACTAAAACTTTGAAACTTTTAATTCTCTTGGAGCAAGATAAGGTTTTGTTTGTAATTTGTTAAGATTCATAAAGGTAGTATATCACCTGTTCTCTCAAGCTACATATTTTATTTACAGTAGGATTATTATATAGAGTATATGAAGTTGAGCAGTTCAGTCTAGTTCTTGCTGTTGTTTTTATTTCAATTAACTTGAGAGATTTTAAGAAATGGAAATTCTGTATGTAACTATTAACGGTTTTTTTCTACAGTAAAAATGAAATATGCCGAAAATGTTCCCCACAACATGACAGAAAAGGAATTTTGGACACGTTTCTTTCAGTCCCACTATTTTCACAGGGACCGGCTGAATACAGGGTCAAAGGACCTCTTTGCAGAATGTGCCAAAATAGATGAAAAAGGTAACTGTTCATCCCTGACACACATTAAATTTAATTTGCTGCTCTCTCGTCATAATGTTGTTAGTGAATTTTTTATTCCTAAAAAAGGCCAGACTTGACCAACTTTTTATTTCATTCATTTTCTAGGGTTAAAAACAATGGTTTCATTAGGAGTAAAAAACCCATTACTTGATTTGACAGCTTTGGAAGATAAATCATTAGATGAGGTAAGTGGTATTAAAAGAATTTCTGAGAGGGGTGCCTGGCTGGCTCAGTTGGTAGAGCATGAGACTGTTGATCTAGAGTTTGTGAGTTTGAGCCCGATGCTGGGCATAGAGCCGATTAAAAACAGAAAACATATATATTTCTTAAGGTTTTATTTATTTGAGTGAGAGGCAGAGAGAGCATGAGTGGGGGGAGGGGCAGAAGGAGAGGGAGAAGGACAAGCAGCCTCCCTGTTAAAGCACAGAGCCTGATGCAGGGCTCGATCTGAGGACCCGGAGATCACAACCCGAACCAAAATCAGATGCTTAACCGACCAAGCCACCCAGGCATCCCACAAAAAAACAAATTTTAATTAAAAAGAACTTACGAGAGAAAACAGTCTTTATTAGAAGTGCTTGTCAGTAGCACTGTTTACTATTAAAATTGCCTTGAAAAATTGAAATCCCTGTATGAATTGCTCAAACTTTTTTTTTTTTTTTTTAAGATTTTATTTATTTATTCGACAGAGAGATCACAAGCAGGCAGAGAGGCAGGCAGAGAGAGAGGAGGAAGCAGGCTCCCCTAGAGAGCAGAGAGCCCGATGCGGGGCTCGATCCCAGGACTCCGAGATCATGACCTGAGCCGAAGGCAGCGGCTTAACCCACTGAGCCACCCAGGCGCCCCTTGCTCAAACTTTTTTAAAGGAATTTTTCCCCCATTGGTACATCTCTAGGTAATGTGAAGGCTTAACATATTTATGAGTCCAGCTTTATTCTCTGGTGTTAATCTAAAGAAATGTGAATAAATATCAGTAGGCCAAGGAAAGATAACCGTTTTTCTGTAGCCCACTGAGCACACCTGTGACCCTTGGCTGCACACTAGTTCCATTAAGTTTCAACAGGTAGACCACCAAGTATGTACCACCTACCTCTGCATCTTGACCGTAGACTTACAAATGTATCCAGTCATGGGGAAAGATGGGATCCCTTTTGATTGAGGCAAGTTCCATCCCTGTGCCTACTTATAAACTAGGAGCCTACCTTCCTCAGTTACTCTCTTAACACTCAGATTTTCGTTTTCTTACCTTTCTTTTGGCTCCTCTTCTGCTGGCCATATACACATGCTTAAACCTTCCTGTCTTCTTTTTCTAAATTTTTTCCTTTATTTTAGTGTATGGTACTCACAAGGTAAGGAAATCAGTGTTAAACTTTTGACCTACAGTCTCTAGCGGAAAATAATCCTTGGTGCCAAAATGAGTTGTTTCCTTAATGAGATTGAGTTTTATTGGTAATTCTCCACCTTCAGGCACTTCCTTGGTGAATTTCAACATATTAAAACATGGCCCTCCTAAATCATCCTGAAAAAAAATGAAGCTTTGTGAAGCTTAGAGGTATAGCTTAATACGGGGAAGAGATTTTAGTGCCTTTTTTTTTAATTTTTTTTAAGATTTTGTTTATTTATTTGAAAAAGAGAGAACAGAAATTACAAGTAGGCAGAGAGAGAGGGAGAAGCAGACTCCCCACTGAGCAGGGAGCCCGTTGCAGGACTTGATCCCAGCACCCTGGGATCATGACCTGAGCCCAAGGCAGACGCTTAACTGACTGAGCCAACCAGGCACACCATTAGTACTTTTTAAAAATAAAAATGAAAATGATGGTATATTGGGGTGCCTGGCTCAGTTGAAAGAGCATGCGACTCTTGATCTCGGGATTTTGAGTTCGAGCCCCACTTTGGGTATAGATTACTCAAATTTTTTAACTTTAAAAAAATTATATATTACACATATTTATGTGTGATTTTGTTCTTCACTTTGCCTATTATCACTATTAGTTCCAGCTAAACCATAGTTGTTAAGTAGATAAACTATAAAACCAAACTACCTGGCTTAGATGCTCCCTTTTTTTTTTTTTTTTTTTTTTTTTTTTTTTACTTTTTTAAGCCCAGTTTTCTTATAAAATGAGGTCAGGCAGAGGGAGGAGAAGCAGATTCCCCACGGAATTCCCCACTGACCTTAGCAGGGGGTAGGAAAATTGAGGAGATGTTTGTTATGGGTACCAACTTACCATTAGCAGGTAGATAAGTTCTAGAGATATAATGCACAGCATATAGTCAACAGTGCTGTTTTATAAACTTCAGAGTTGCCACATCTTAGTTGTCTGTCCACAAAACATGAAATGATAATTACATGACATGACAGATGTCAGCTTTAGGTTAGTCCTATTGCAATATATAAATAGCAAGTTAATACCTTTTTTCCTTTTTTTTTTTTTAAAGATTTTATTTATTTGACAGAGAGAGATATCACAAGTAGGCAGAGAGGCAGAGGGTGGGGGGAAACAGGCTCCCTGCTGAGCAGAGAGCCTGATGTGGGGCTCAATCCCAGGACTCTGAGATCGTGACCTGAGCCGAAGGCAGAGGCTTAACCCACTGAGCCACCCAGGCACCCCAAGTTAATACCTTTAACTTATAAAATGTTAATATGTCAATTATAACTCAATTGAAAAAATCCAATACAAAGAAGGTGTTGACTTTATAGGATTGCTACAAGAGAAGAGTGTGGTACACAGTGAGTGCTCAGCAAATAATAGGTGTTACTGTCATTTATGTTTTTTAGTGCCCTGTATTCCGTTTTATGGAAATGTAAACATTTACATAACCAATCCCCATAATAGAAATGTTAGGTGATTCAGTTTTTCCTTTGGTGCCTCTTTTTCCTCTATCATCCTCTGGGTGTTGTAATTCTCCCTTGATAAGACTTTGGTACATGTTCTGAATACGTTGTCTTCATTCCATTGCTTTAAATACTAATATGTAGGGGCGCCTGGGTGGCTCAGTGGGTTAAAGCCTCTGCCTGCGGCTCGGGTCATGATCCCAGGGTCCTGGGATCGAGCCCCGCATCGGGCTCTCTGCTCAGCGGAGAGCCTGCTTCCTCCTCTCTCCTGTCTGCCTCTCTGCCTACTTGTGATCTCTGTCAAATAAATAAATAAAATCTTTAAAATAAATAAATAAATAAATACATACATACATACATACATACATACATACATACATACTAATATGTAATGATGAATCCAGGTAACCCTGTCTCTCTGACCCCAGAATTCCAAAATTATACATCCCACCTACTTACTTGCAGTCTTCACTTAAATACTTCACAGACACCTCCGCATAGATGTAAAATGGAGCCTTTTATTCCTCTCTTAAACCTATTTGTTCCTGGGTCTTCTCTGTGTCACACACACAAAAAAACATTACCATCAGAACTCCTTAGTGGTTCAGTCGTTTAAGTGTCTCCCTCCAGCTCAGGTCATGATCTCGGGGTCCTGGACTAAAGCCCCACGTTGGACTCCCTGCTCCATGGGGAATCTGCTTCTCCTCCCTCTGCCTGACCCCAGCCCCTGCCACTTATGCACATGCGCCCGTGCTCACATTTTGTCTCTCTCTAAAATAAATAAAATCTTAAAAAAAAAAAAAATTACCGCGGACTAAGTTGCTCAAGCGGAAACCTGGGAACCTCCTTGATTCCTCCTCTTCCTTCACCTCCAACATTCAGTTCGTTAGCAAGTCCTGTATAATACATCTCCAGTTTGTCTACATCTGTCCATCTCCACACTTAGATCCTCTCACTGTTATTAGGCTACCGCCATTTTTGTCTTGATTGCTTTCATTAGCTTCCTAATTGAGACTCCTGTTTCCACTTTTGTTCCCTGTAGTTACTTTCCCCTAACAGGAAAAGTTATAAATCAGATCATAGTAGTTTTCTGCATAAAACTCTTTGGTGGATTCTCATTGAACTTAAAACTTCTACAAGGCTCTTCTTGATTTGGCCTCTGCCTGCTTCTACCTCAGTATGGGCCACTTACACTCATTTATGCTCTAGATACCTTCTTTCAGGTCCGTTCCAAGTTTTCTCTACCTCATGGTCTCTGCACATGCTATTCCTCCTTCTTGCTCTTTTCCCTAACCAGCTTCTTTTTTTTCTTTTTAATTTTATTTAATTATTTATTTATTTGTCAGAGAGCACGCGCGCGCACACAAGCAGGCAGAGTAGCAGGCAGAGGCAGAGAGAGAAGCACTCTCCCTGCGGAGCAAGGAGCCTGATGTGGGACTTGATTCCAGGACCCTGCGATCATGACCTGAGCCAAAGGCAGCGGCTTAACCAACTGAGCCACCCAGGCGTCCCTCCCTAACCAGCTTCTACCATCTTTAAGACAGCTGTTCAGACTGGTTCAGGAGAGACTTTCCCTAAGCACTGTGTGAAGTAGCTCATCCTCTCCGTCCAGCCGCTGTATCGTGCCCCCCTTCTTTATTTTCTTGATGCCACTTGTCATTTTCAAAAGAGATCTTCTCTTAGTAGAGTATAAGTTTTGTGAGGGTACCTCTTATTTACTGGCCTGTCCCCTACACATGGCATAGAAAAGGCATCAGTAATTATGTGATAAACGGATGAATGCTGTGAGTCTTTTCATAATCTTTCATTTAGCCATTGTAGCCTTATGTTTCACCAATCCCTGACCCACCCTTCATTCCAGATGTGACTGCAGTACAGAAAAAGCCGGTGACACAGTATGCATTATGTTGTTTTTACACCTATATTTAAGCAGTTTCCTCTCCCTGAAATGTTACTGTCTTCGTGTCTGGCTTGTAAGAACTGGATCGAGTTATGATGCTCCCTCAAGCTTTTTTGAACCTACCTCTGCTCTCCTCCAGTGGGATTAGCTACTTCCTCTCTTTTAGCACATAGAAGCCTTAACTGTGTACTGGCTTACAGCCCAGGACCCTACTAACTAGTATTCTGGCTCCTTTGGCACAAAATATTAACTTGCTGTCTGTAAGGCTTAGCACAAACTCAGTACATATTTGAAAATATTTGAGTTATTTAAAAATATATATATACATTTGAGTTATTTTACAGAGCTTGGAAAAATTGACTATCCTTGCTTAAATAATACTTAAAAAATTATATAGCTAGAATTTGAATCCCTATTTATATGATTCCAGAGTCCATGCCTTTTTTTTTTTTTTTTTTCACTGTATTCTATTTCTTCATTTAATATTTTGCTAACTTTAGGGGCGCCTGGGTGGCTCAGTGGGTTAAAGCCTCTGCCTTCAGCTCAGGTCATGATCCCAGGGTCCTGGGATCGAGCCCCACATCGGGCTCTCTGCTCTGCGGGGAGCCTACTTCCCTTCCTCTCTCTCTGCCTGCCTCTCTGCCTACTTGTGATCTCTGTCTGTCAAATAAATAAAATCTTAAAAAAAAAATATTTTGCTAACTTTATCCAAAACTCTTTTAAAAAAATTTACGGTTTGGGGCAGTCAGTAGAACATGCAACTCTTAATCTCAGGGTTAAGTTTGAACCCCACATTGGGTGTAGAGATGACTTAACTCTTTTTTTTTTTTTAAATATGCAGTTTAAATTTGTTTTGTTTTGTTTTGTTTTTAAGATTTTATGTATTTGAGGGGGCACCTGTGTGGCTCAGTTGGTTAAACGACTGCCTTCGGCTCAGGTCATGATCCTGGAGTCCCGGGATCGAGTCCCACATCAGGCTCCCAGCTCCATGGGGAGTCTGCTTCTCCCTCTGACCTTCTCCTTGCTCATGCTCTCTCTCTCACTGTCTCTCTCTTCTCTCAAATAAATAAATAAATAAAAAAGATTTTATGTATTTGAGAGAGGAAGAAAGAGCACAAGCAGGGGGCAGAGGCAGAGGGTTCAGAAGCAAATTCCTTGCTGAGCAGGGAGTCCGATGTGGGGTCAACTCCAAGACCCTGGGATCATGACCTGAGCCACCCAGGTGCCCCAAAATTTATCATTTTAGATTAAGATTGTTCTTTTGATGCCAGAAGGAGAATGTTGTATTTTTTGTGTACATAACTTTTAAAAATATTTATCTGTAAAAATTGAGTAATGCTCAGAATTAATACAGTCCAATCCTCCAGAAAATATTTTCAGCTAAGTGTGTCTCTCATAATGGAGAAGAAAACCAGAACTTTATTTTGATTTTTAATCTTCCAAATTGTTTCTTTTAGGGCTATGGCATTTCTTCCATGCCATCTACTTCTAATTCTAAGTCCATAAAGGAGAATAGTAATGCTGCCATCATCAAGAGGTTTAACCATCACAGTGCCATGGTCCTGGCAGCAGGTCTCAGGAAACAGTTAAGTATACATGCAAAAGTGCAATAACTGAGCTTTTCAAGGTAGCCAGATGAAATTTTCTCATTGTTCTGCTTGTGATTTTTAACATTTCCTCCTTTGTTTTAAGAGAAGCACAAAATGAACAAAATGGTGAGCCCAGCAGCATCGATGGAAATTCTGGAGATGCAGATTGCTTCCAGCCAGCAGTCAAAAGGGTACGGGTAAAAAGTTCAGGTTTAGAGCTCAGGTTTCTTCTGACAGCCTGTATAACTGCTAGAATTTTATGTTAATCCTCGATTACCTCAGGTGACTCCATTCTTCTGACCAAGACATTAAGCATTTGGCATAAATTGTAGAACATTTTAAAGAGTACCTCCTCGGTTTTAACTTGCCAACCAGCTTTCCATGCACTCCTGTTAACTGTTCTTACTGGTTTTGTACTCTTTTTTTCCTTCACATGGACACGTACACACATATTGACATACAGTTTGTGTTCTGGGCAAGAGTATTCAACAAAGGCAAAATAACAGAAAGAAAACCTAAAGGTTTGTGTATATGATTTTAAAAGATAGGATTGGGGCCTCATATCAAACCTAGCATTTCAGAGTTAGAAATGTGTTCTTACTAAATGTTGAAGAAATCATTTGGGGCTGTGTGGGAATATGGACAGAATTATCTACTTCCATATTTCCTTCCTTGCAATTTTGCCAAGCTACTCTACCTCTCTGTGTTTTCAAATTCCTCCCCAATTATAAAAATAAGTACAATAAAGGTTTCTTAGAGGGCAATCAGGCAATATGTATTAAAATTTTTGTCTTGCCCTTATTCCATTTTTGGGACAGCATTTCATTTTGGAGAGTTATTTAAAGAGGAAAAGATGTGCATATATTTAGATACAAATACTTATTTCAATTACTATAATCGCAAACATTCCAGTACTAATATCATTGGTATGTCCATATAGTAGAGACTGATGCGGTCATGAATAACTTGAAAAGGATTAATGACATTCTGAATTTAAAAAAGAGTTCACATAAGTTTAATTCATAAAGGGGCGCCTGGGTGGCTCAGTGGTTAAAGCCTCTGCCTTCGGCTCGGGTCATGATCTCAGGGTCCTGGGATCGAGTACCGCATCGGGCTCTCTGCTCAGCAGGGAGCCTGCCTCCTCCTCCTTTCTCTCTCTGCCTACTTGTGATCTGTCTGTCAAAAAAAAAAAAAAAAAAAAATCTAAAAAAAAAAAAAAAGTTTATTTCATAAAAAAATTAAATTCCAAGAAATTAGGGGCACCTGGGTGGCTCAGTTGGTTGCACATCTGCCTTAGGCTCTGGTCCTGATCTCCCAGGGTCCCGGGATTGAGCCCCACATCGGGCTCTCCTCTTGGTGGGGAGCCTGCTTCTCCTTCTCCCTGCTTCTCCTTCTCCTTCTGCCTACTTCTCTGCCAACTTGTTTTCTCTCTTTCTGTCAAATAAAAATCTAAGAAAAAAAAAATAAATTCAAGAAACCATTTTTGAGTTGCTACAAGTATTAAGGGGTGGGAAACAAAAATGAGTAAGAGTTCTTATCCTCAGAGAGTTTAGTGTCTATAGGGAAGAGGAAATCAAAAGTCTTTCAAAATAAAACTTGTAGTTTTTGTGTTATTTATACTAGGAATCAAAGAAAATAAAAATTCATAAATTAAATGAAAAGTTCACAGAACAGACTATGTGATACAATTTCACTTGTAAAAAAAACTTTATGAACTTTTTAAAAACACCTTCAAAAGAATACGTTAAATGGTTATCTTTCTGTAAAGGAATTACAGATGAGTCTTTGGTTCATGCTTCAGTAACTTAATGTTTCTACAGGCATATACACTTTTATTTATTTTTAAATCAGAATTTATGTATTTATTTGACAGAGAGAGACATAGAGAGGGAACACAAGCAGGAGTGAGAGAGGGAGAAGCAGGCTTCCCGCCGAGCAGGGAGCCTGAGGTGGAGCTCAATCCCAGGATCCTGGGATCATGACCTGAGCTGAAGGCAGACACCCAACAACTGAGCCACCCAGGCACCCCGCATATACACTTTTTTTTTTTCTAAGATTTTATTTATTTATTTGACAGATAGAGATCATGAGTAGGCAGAGAGACAGGCAGAGAGAGAGGAGGAAGCAGGCTCCCTGCTGAGCAGAAAGCTGGATGTGGGGCTCAATCCCAGCACCCTGGGATCATGACCCAAGCCTAAGGCAGAGGCTTTAACCCACTGAGCCACCCAGGCGTCCCTCGCATATACACTTTTAAAACTAAGCCACAGGCACCTGGATGGCTCAGGCAGTTAAGCGTCTTCCTTCAGCTCAGGTGTGATCCTGAGGTCCTAGGATTGGGCCCCACATTGGGCTCCCCACTCAGTGGCGTGTCTGCTTCTCTCTGTCCCTTTGAACCTTCCCCTTTTCTCATGCTCTCACTTTCTCTCACTCTCAAATGAATAAATATTTAACAAAGCCAATAAGATTTTTTTCTTTTTAAGTTTTTATTTAAATTCCAGTTAGTTAGCATATGGTGTAGTATTTGTTTTCAGGTATACAGTTTATTCTTTTTAAAGGTTTTATGTATTTGAGAGCGAGCATGAGCAGGGGTCGGGGAGAGGAGAGGAAGAAGCAGACTCCCTGCTGAGCAGGGAGCCCAACATGGGACTCACTCCCAGGACCCTGAGATCATGACCTGAGCCAGAGGCAGCCACTTAACTGACTGAGCCACCTGGGCATCCCTACAACTTAATGGTTCAGTGCTTACATACTACATTACCCGGTGATCATCACAAGTGCACTCCTTTAAAAAATATTTGTGAGTTGAATAAATACTTTTTTTTCTGGCTAAGGAAAGTGAAATTAAAATGAAAGAGGAGTTTAAGATGAAATCTAGGAAATGATGCTTTTCTTTGCGATACTGTGGCACTAAGTACATTTGATTTTTGGTCATTAAAGATTTGTCAAAAATCATGGTTTCTGTGAATTTTCACTATGTTCAATAATAAATGCTGACTCTAGATGTTCTTTCAAATCAATAGTTTGAAATAGTCTGTTGTGTGTTCTACAGAAGGGTTTTATAGAATGGGAGATTCAGAAGTAGTAATAGAGTCCTTACTTTAATGGAGTTTCCAGTTAAGTAGAAGAGTCAGGTCACCGAATGAGGCCTTAGCACAAGTGTAGGATTTGGGTTATCATGGGAGGTTAGGTTAGAGACATGACTTAGGTAGGGAGCAGCAGGGATAGGAATGAGCTTGATGTTTGTAAAAAGTAATGAAGGTCAGATTTTGGTATGCCTTGAAGTTGGTGGAAAGGTGGAGAGTTGAGAAAGTAGTAAAAAAAAAAATTAAGTTTTCAGGTTGACCTTTTTTGAGAGATATTTAATAACTGAAATGTTTTGATTCTACTCTTGGTAGCTACAGATGAGGGTTTATCAGGTGAATTTCATAGCTATATAAGGGATGAAATATTGTAGAATTAATTTCACAAACGACCATGTAGATTGCTTTCCTATATCTTTTTTAATTAACATGGGCTATAGAAATTTAGCAGTCTTTTACTAGCACAGGAGAAAACAGATTAGTAAAACCAAAATAAAGAGCACAGAAGTAAACCCAAATACCTGGAGAAATTAAATAACATATAGTAAACATGGTATTTCAGGATCCACAGGAAATGACACACTATTTTACAAATGGTGTTGGGAGAACTGATGAGTAAAAAGAATTTCAGATTCCTTATTCCAAATTAAATACTAAATGGATCAAAGATTTAAGCAAAAAATTAATCCACAGAAGAATAAGCAGTAAGGGAATAATTAAAACCAAACAACACCAAATGAGAAGAAAAAGTATTTACAACACGTAATAAATTAGTCCTGCTTATTTGGTGGAAGAATAGGAAAATACACCATTTTCACCTGCCAGATTGTAGGAAAGCAGGTATTGTAAGCGGTTGGTGAGAAAACGAGTTGTGCCAGTTGTTAGCATAGTCATCTCTAGGAATTGAAGTTCATGGTGGTAAAACTTCATGTTTTACCCTGTGTATAGTTGTACTTTTTCAATCATGTTCATTACTTTTATAAGGAAAAGTACCATAAAAAGTGCTATGTTGATAATTGCAGGCAAAGTTACAAGAGTCTATTGAATATGAAGACTTGGGGAAAAATAATTCCATAAAAACGATTGCACTAAACCTCAAGAAGTCAGATAGGTAAGTTTGGTCAATATTAACTTGGGCACAACAGTTACGTAACACAAATCACTGCAGAGTATATTCCACAAGTATAGCACTCAAGTTTTAAGTCTCTTTGTTACCATAAGAATAAACTATCTTTTTTCCTTGAAAACTTAATTTGTGCATTTCAGAAAAGGATGCTTAAATGATCAAAGCCAAGATAAAAATGTAGTTCTCTGTGCAATTTTCTTACTGCCCTTATGGGAATTAAGTTATTTTACTCAAATCTGTTTAAATATATTATTTTTTGCTTTGGGGACATGGAGACTGCTAAAATATTTGAAGGACAGCTGTTTATTCTGTGTGATTAGTAATTTCTTTCTTCTTTGCTAATCTTTAGGTATTATCACGGTCCAACTCCAATCCAGTCACTACAGTATGCAACAAGTCAGGACATTATTAATTCTTTTCAAAGTATTAGGCAAGAAATGGAAGCTTATACACCCAAATTAACTCAGGTGGGTGACTTGTACTGTTTGAAAACCAGAATTCCCATAGTTCTTTCCTTAGTTTATGAGTATAGCCAAATTGAACTATATAAACTGTTTTAATTGGGTTTAAAGACATATTTCTACAAATAAATTGAAAAAAAATTTTTGGCACATTCCAGAAGTATCTAAAGTTAAGATGATAATGAAAAATAGATGAGTTTTGTGATTGCTAATTATTTTCCTCCCACGTACACAGTGTTATTGGGGAAATTTCCCAGATTTCCAAAAAACTGGACATCACTGTCTAGATACTCTACATAACCTCAAACTAGAATACATAAAATTGAGCTTATTATCTATAGCTCTTATTCATACTTTTCTTTTTTTTAAGGATTTTATTTATTTATTTGTCCAAGAGAGATCACGCACAAGCAGGGGGAGCAGCAAGCAGAGGGAGAAGCAGACTCCCCCTGAGCAGGGAGCCTGATATGGCATAATCCCGGGACACTGGGATTATGACCTGAGCCAAAGGCAGATGCTTAACCCACTGAGCTACCCAGGCATCCCTCTTATTCATACTTAAGTTGATCTGGAAGTCCTGTCCATTCTTCAGTATTTCTTGACTCCTTGGTTTAGGCAGACATGATCAATTTTATTTAATCTTACCACTCTGCAGCTTAAAACTTTCACTGCCTCCTTTCATTGGCATAGCAATTGTCTGAATGCCTTTGTCTGGCACACAGAGCTTTTACAGTCTGGCCCTAATCCACGTCTCCAGTTTCAATTCCAGCTGTATCTCTACCATTCCCTTCCACATACAACCAAGAGTCTTCTCTCCAGCCTAATACACTAAACTATCTAGAAAAGAGAGAAAGCCTGAGAGAGAAAGCTCAGGCTTTCTCTCTTCTTAGAATACCTTTAACCTGTTTCTGCCTCTGCAACCTAATAATTACCCAAAACTCAGGTCAGATTTCATTGTCTCTGTAAAGCAATCTCAACATGCTCAGTAACAAATTTGGGGCAGGGGCAGGGAGGGTGTCTGTTTTCATAAACCCTGAGGCAGAGTTCATACATGTCTTGTAGTGCTTGTCACATATTGAAAGTTATTTTCTTACTTTTTATTTTGAAGTGATTTCAGATTTATAGAAAGTTGGGGGAAAAAAAAGTTTTCTGGCCCATTTTGAGAGTAGAAACTCTGAAATATTTCAGTTTGTATTTACTAAAGATACTCTCATAAATAATGCAGTTAGAGAAATGATGACTTAACATTGATAAAGCATTATTATCATTATTATCCAACCTTTTAGGTCTTAGGAAAATTTTACCAGTTATACCACCAATTTCCGTTACAGCAAAGAAAACTTTTTGGTCCAGCATCCAAGTCAGGTTCATAAGTTGCATTTAGTTCTCATGTCTTTTTAGTGCCCTTTCAGATGGAACCATTTTTCAATCTTTGTTTTTTCATGATCTTGATATTTTAGTAAAAGCCAGTTTTTTGTAAAATTCCCTCAATTTGAGTTTCTTTAGTGTTTCCTCATGATTGGATTCACATTATGCGTTTTTGGCAGGAATATCACAGAAGTGAGGTGTCATCCTTAGTGTATCATATCAGGAGGCGTGTATTTATTTTTCCTAACTTCCAATCACTCGGGTAAGGTAGTATCTACCTGGTTTCTCAACCAAAACGTTACTGTTTTTCCCTTTGTACTGAGTTATTTTGAGAGATACTTTGAGACTATATAAAAACTGTATTTCGTATCAAACTCTTAGCCGTGAATTTTGTAGAATCCATTGGTGATTCTTACCAGAAACAGTTACTACTGTAGTGGTGGTTAAATGGGGTAAGAGTGAGCGAGTACACAAGCAGTGGGAGGGACAGAGGGAGAGCATCTTAAACAGGCTTCACACTGAGCGTAGAGTCTGATGCAGGGCTCAGTCTCACGACCCAGAAAGCATGATCTGAGTTGAAGTCAAGAGTTGGACGCCCAACTGACTAAGCTGCCCAGGTGCCCCAAATGGTGATTTTCTAATTCCATCATCCCTTCTACATGTGGTGACACTTTGCTAAGACAAAGAGCTTCCCTTTCCTTCTTGCATATTAATTATATCACAGAGGAGTCATGGTTTCTTAGGTTATTCTTTGGGTTATGAACTGTTGCTGTTTTTTGGTTTTTTGTTAAACCAAGGTATGATTTACATACAGTAAAATTACCTTTTTTCAGTCTCCTGGAAATTTTAATAAACATAAACAGTTGTGTAACCACTTACACAATCAAGTAAAAAAGCAGTTTTTTCACCCCCAGAAATGTACCCATGCTTCTTGTAAACATCAACATTCTGGCAGTGTTTTCTTCAATTTTTGAGCACCTCCTTTTTGAGTACCTTACTTTATGGAACAATGAGATAGATGTTCTAGGTTTGTCTTAAGCTTTCCCCACTCCAGCCACAAAATCTTCTTTAGTGCTGGGTAGATTTAGATACCAAGATTTGGGGGTGCCTGGGTGACTCAGTTGGTCAAGCATCCCACTCTTGATTTCAGCTGAGGCCATGGTATCAGGGCCGTGAGATTGAACCCCGCATCAGGCTCTGTACTCAGCATGGAGTCTGCTTGAGATTCTCTCTCTCTGTAGAATAAATAAATAAATCCTTTAAAAAAAAAAAAGAAAAGAAACCACGACCTGGGTACAGTGTACTCATTGCTGTTGGGGTATCATTTGCTGCTGGTGTTACTGTCCCTTCCATGGGCAGAGCTGAGAAATACATATATGTATATATATGCACACATAATAAATTTGGCATTACTTGGCTACTTTTTCTTTCTGGAATATAATTGTCCAACATCTGGCCCTTGGGCCCAAGTAGACCATCCTAACTTTTTTAAGCTGTGGTCCATCTTAGATATTTAAATTCTTCCCCACACCTATTCTGCATCCCAGAAATAATGCTGTATCTTAGATGCATGGATTGAGACAGAAAGGCCCAAGAAGTTCTCTGTCCTTGGGTGTGTATACCTGAGTGCAGCCCAGGGCTAGTCATCAATCACTGAAGCTTCTGTTTCTGACATGTCATAACATTTCTGACAAAAGGAAGTAGGAATGGCATGAACGCCCATGTTCCCTTGACTCATGGTTGTCATGTTCTGTACGCTTACTCCAAGTTGAAATTTTGTTTTCATCCAGTCCATATACACATGGATTTCTGCTTACAAAAACATCATTGAAAAGCCTTAGACGGGGGCGCCTGGATGGCTCAGTCATTAAGCATCTGCATCTGGCTCGTGTTGTGGTCTCAGGGTCCTAGGATCGAGCCTCTACATCAGGCTTCCTGCTCCGCAGAGAGCCTGCTTCTCCCTCTCCCACTCCCCCTGCTTGTGTTCCTTCTCTTGCTGTCTCTCTCAAAAAAAAAAAAAGAAAGAAAGAAAGAAAAGCGTTAGACATACTAACCCTGCACTTGAGCTATTCACCGAATGATTTGTTCCTCTGTAACCACAGTGCCTGGCACTTGTTAGGCAGTCACTGAATAGATAGGCCAATTACTTCCCTAACTGTTGATACTGACAGAGTGGGGAGTATGCTTTTCCCCTTTGGCTAGTTGTATTCACTTCCTTGGAAAGTAACAGACGATCTATTTCTGCTCTGTTGAGGTTTTTGTTTCCCCAGCTGCCGGCAAGTATATGTTAATGTGTTGTTTTACTTCGCAAGTTGAGTTGGTGCTTAAGAAAGGGCTTTTACTCAGCAAAAGGGTGAGTTTTGAGGTCTAGAGTCTTGCCCAGTATTGCTGGAAGACTGGTAGATACTCTCTTTCTGTGCGCACTGTGTTTCTGGCCTCAAGCGAAGTCCTTCACTCTGGCTGCTATAAATTATGTATTGTGATACAGGAATAAAGATGTATGCTGTAAAACTGAAATAATGAAGTAAGGAAGATGGCAGGAAGAGGAAACCCACTTTGTGTGTCCGTTTCTTTCAGGTTCTCTCAAGTAGCGCTGCCAGTAGTACGATCACAACGCTGTCACCCGGAGGAGCACTTATGCAGGGAGGGACCCAGCAAGCCATAAACCGTACGTGTGGAGCCACTTTCTCACTGATTAAAGCGCTAAAGAGCGAGTTGGGAGGAATGCTAAAGTAATTAGATTGGATTTTCTTTGGGGCATTTCTGACACTTCTGTTTTTATGCATATAGATCCTGAGATCTATTTAGAAAAGAGCTTTGGTTTCATGATTATCTTAATATTACAAACAGTGGTACATTGTTAGTCTCCCTATATCATATGAAAAGCTTTCTTTTTTGCTTTCTAACCTCTTAGAATAAAGGGAAACCTGAAAATTGCTCCAAAATCTCAGGGAATTTGAATTCTAACATAGCAACAAAATCATTACCTTACCTCAGGTTAGCACGTCCTGGCTTGGCATAGGCTAAGTGCACATGTGCAGATTTATTCTGTGAGTGGTCCTTCTTTCAGAGAGTGTCCATATGTGGAAATAACTTTTATCCTATTCTTTTTTCTGCAGAGATGGTGCCAAATGATATTCAGTCTGAATTGAAACACCTTTATGTGGCTGTTGGGGAACTTCTACGGCACTTCTGGTCCTGCTTCCCTGTTAATACACCATTCCTAGAAGAAAAGGTCAGAATTGATTCCAAGCACAGCCAGCTGTGTGGTAGTATCACTTAGCGACGTGTTATTTTGAAATTAAAAAATTGTATTGAGTGTTTACCATGTGCTAGACACTCGGATAGCTACTTGCATACGTTAATTTAAGCCTACAGCTTAAATGGAGTAGGTATTCAAACCCTAAATGGAGTAGGTATTCAAACCCATTTTATAGATGATGAAACTTGAGATTCAGACAAGCTTATAACTTAATGATTGTACATCTTAAAACTTGTGTCAAGCTGTAAGCCACTGGGAGCAAATAAAGAACGGAGATCCCAAACAAGTCACATCAATAAAATTACTTATTTGGTATATTTTGTAGAAATAATGAAATTCAGACTGAGATTGACAACAAATATAGCACTAGCTATTTAACACTAATACTCTTTTAACCAATTAAAGGACAGTTGACAAATGGGAAAATATTTATAGTATTAATAGTAATAGTTTAACTATATAGATTACTCTTTTAAACAACTCTTAAGAGAAAAGGTTAAATACACCATTAAAAATAATAGGCAAGGGGCGCCTGGGTGGCTCAGTGGGTTAAGCCTCTGCCTTCGGCTCGGGTCATGATCCCAGGGTCCTGGGATCGAGCCCCGCATCGGGCTCTCTGCTCAGCGGGGAGCCTGCTTCCTCCTCTCTCTCTGCCTGCCTCTCTGCCTACCTGTGATCTCTGTCAAATAAATAAATAAAATCTTTAAAAAATAATAATAATAATAGGCAAGGGACTTTCAACAGGCATCTCACTAAAGAATGAGATGAAGAAAGAAATTTTCATACTCATTAGTAGTCAAATAAATTATCTTTAAAGCTACAGTGAAAGAACTTTTTTTAATCTGTGGTTTTTAAAATAACAAAAAATTTAAAATTACCAGTGATGGCCAGGTTGCTAAGAGTCCTTTCTTCCATTACTCATACTACCTTTTTAAAAAATGCTTTGACCCAGAAATTCAGTGTTTAGGAATTTAAGCTAAGGAAATAATTAAGAATATTTAGCAGTAGAGATGTTCCTCTACCACTGTCTCTGAAAGCAAATGTGGAAGTAGCCTAATTAGCTACCAGAAGGGGTATAATTAAGAAGCATTTGCTATGCATACTTTGAAATACAATGCATCCATTTTAAATGATGACTTAAGTGAGTATTTAATGACTGAAAGATGTTCGTGTTAAGTAAAATTTTAAAACAGTATAATAAATATGTTTATACACATACATAAAAAATATTGAGAGGGGTGTGAATTATGAACCACAGTGTTTATGAACCACTGAGTGGTGGTAAATACTGTTTCTTTGCCTGAAGCCAGTTAATCTAGTGGAAAAAAGTAATAATAATAACCTTCCTATGTGTGTTTTTCTCTTGTTCCCTATAGGTTCTTTTAGATTTCTGTATAATTATTTTTGTCATCTTTTGTAGGTAGTAAAAATGAAAAGTAATTTGGAACGATTTCAAGTTACGAAGCTCTGCCCATTCCAAGAAAAAATTCGGAGACAGTATTTAAGCACAAATGTAAGGCAACAATATGATTTTGGCCTGGTTTTCTTTCTCTGTGTTGCAAAATGGTGAAATTAACTTTGTTTTCATGTGAATGAGTAGATACATTTGGGGTTTCTTTTTTTTTTTTCCCTGTTGCTCAGAGTATGTTTTTTTGTTGTTGGGGGTTTTTTGCTTTTTTTTTTTTTTTGTAATTTTTGTACCCAGTGTGGAGTTCTCACTCACGACCTGAGATCAAGAGTGGCATGCTTTTCCAACTGAGTCAGATAGGTGCCCCTCTGAGTACTAGTTTTTAAATACAAAATGTATCATACATTCAGAAGAGTGTATAAAATACCTAACACTTTTTAAAACAATAAAACAAGTATTTACCCACAAACCATCATAAGAAATGAAACAATACCAATACCCATAGATATTCCCTATCCAGTTGCCTACCCCTCCCTCTTCACAGTCTTCCAAGGCCACCACTAACCCCAGCATTTGTAATAACTCCATGAGGTTGGTTGATTGGTTGGTTGGTTTACTTAAAACACTCTGTCTCCATGGTGGGGCTTGAACTCAACCCCACATCCAGAGTTGCATCCTCTACCAGCTGAGCCCGCCAAAAGCCCCAATCGTCTCTACACTTTGTTCTGTAGATTTAGAACCTATGTGTATGTCCCTAAAAATTTACTATTTTGAAAACCTGAGGAGCAAGCACAAATCTAACCCTGCAAAGAAGGACAGAATTGCTACTCTATAACAGGAGACCTCAGAGTGGCTGCATTATGGTCTGCCTTCTGCTTCCCTGATTGCTTACAGTAGGGTGGGGCTGTGGGTGAGGGAGCAAATGAAAAGTGTCATTTTGTGTCCAGGAATTTTAACATTGTTTTTAATGCAAGGCTAGAGCAACCTGCAGGAGACAATTTTTTGTATCTGTTATGCCGGCGGTCTTCTCTGAGATGAAGGGGAAGAGTATATACAAATTTAGGATTTAGTATTTCAATAAGTAGGTTAATCAAAAGGTGTTTTACAATTGAAAGCTGAAAATTCTTCATCAGTAAGGTTTTTGGTGTTTATTCCCTAAATGTTCTAAGTGGTTTTTCTCAAAATGATAGTACTACTTACAATCAGGAAAGCAGCTTGAAGTACCTTCCTACAAGAGAGCAAGGACAACACATAAGTTTCAGTTCACTTGCCCTTCTTGATTGTAACTGCCTGGAACACTGTGGTAAAAAGGACTCAGGCCATGTACGTGCAATACCTCAAAGACGTTGCAGATTTGGTTCCAGACCACTGCAGTAAAGTGATGTAAATGATTTTTTCTGTTTCCCAGTGCATGTAAAAGTTAGGTTTACACTTTCCTGTAGTCTATTAAGTGTGCAGTAACATTACATCTTAAAAAACATTGTATATCCCTTTTTTTTTTTTTCCTTAAAATTTTATTTACTTACTTGAGAGAGCACAAGCAGGGAGGAGAGAGAGAAGCAGGGAGCCCCATATGGGGCTTGATCCCAGGACCTCGAGATCACAACCTGAGCCAAAGGTAGACGCACAACCAACTGAGGCACTGCAGTACGTCCCTTAATTAAAAATGGCTAAAACTTCTATCCACCTGAACTTTCAGAGAGTCATAATCTTTTTGCTGGTGGAGGGTCTTACCTCTGTGTTGGTGGCTGCTGAAGGTTGGGATGGCTGTGGCCATTTCTTAAAATAAGACATCAGTGAAATATACTGCCTCAATGGGCTATTCCTTTCATAAACAGTTTCTCTGTAGCATGCAGTGCTGTGTGTGAGCATTTCACCCATATTAGAGCTTCTTCAGAGTCAGTCCTCGCAAATCCTGCTGCTGCTTTATCAGTTAAGTTTATGTAATATTCTAAACCTGCTGTTGTCATTTCACAGCATCTTCACCAGGAGTAGATTCCATCTCAAGAAACCACTTTCTTGGGGCGCCTGGGTGGCTCAGTGGGTTAGGCCGCTGCCTTCGGCTCAGGTCATGATCTCAGAGTCCTGGGATCGAGCCCCGCATCGGGCTCTCTGCTCTCTAGGGGAGCCTGCTTCCTCCTCTCTCTCTGCCTGCCTCTCTGCCTGCTTGTGATCTCTCTGTCAAATAAATAAATAAAATCTTAAAAAAAAAAAAAGAAAAAAAAGAAAGAAACCACTTTCTTTGCTCGTCCCTGAGAAGCAACTCCTTAGATGCCCGTCATTCAGTCACATGTTCAGGCTCCACTTCTAATTCTAGTTCTCTTACTGTTTCCACCACCTTGCAGTTACTTCCTCCATTGAAGTCTTGAACCATTCAGAATTAACCATGAGGTTTGGAATCAGCTTCTTTCAAATTCCTGTTAATGTTGATATTTGACCTGTTACCATGAATCACGACTATTCTTAATGGCATCTAGAATGGTGAATCCTTTCTTTTTCTTTTTCTTTTTTTTTTTAATTAATATTATTTATTTATTTATTTATTTATTTATTTATTTGAGAGAGGGAGAGAGAGTACACAAAAGCAGGGGGAGAGGCAGAGGGAGGGAGAGAAGCAGACTCCCCGCTGAGCAGAGAGCCCCTCAACTCCAGGCTCTGGGATCATGACCTGAGCTGAAGGCAGTCACTTAACCACCTGAGCCACCCAGGTGCCAATAGAAATGTGAATCCTTTCCAGAAGGTTTTCATTTTACTTTGAGTAGATCCCTCAGAGGAATCCCTATGTATGGCATCTAAAGCCTTATGAATTGTATTTCTTAAATAGTAAGACTTAGAAGTCAAAATTACTACTCAAATTCATGGGCTACAGAATTATGTTGGGTTAGCAGGTATGAAAGCAACATTCATCTTGTACATCTCCATCAGAGCTCCAGGGTGACCAGGTGCGTTGTCAGTGAGCAGTAATATTTCAAAAGGAATCTTTTTCTGAGTAGGTCTCGACAGTGGGCTTAATATTCACTAAACCGTGTTATAAATAGATGTGCTATCATCCAGGCTTTGTTCTGTGTATAGAGCACAGGCAGAAGAGATTTATTATAATTCTAACAGCCTTATAATAAATTCTAATTTATTATAATTATAACAGCCTTAGGGTAATCAAATGGTAAGTGAGCATTGGCTAAAACAAAGTCACCAACTGCATTAGTTCCTAATAAGGGGATCAGCCTGTCCTTGGAACTTTTGAAGCCTGGAATTGCCTTCTCTCTAGCTTTGAAAGTCCTAGATGGCATCTTCCAGTAGAAGGCTGTTTTGTCTCTATTCAAAATCTTTTGGTTAGTGTAGCTACCTTCATTAGGTAACTTAGCTCGATCTTCTGGAGAACTCTGCAGCTTCTGCATCAGCACTTGCTGCTTCACCTTGCACTTTCCTGTTACAGAGACTGCTTTTTTCCTTAAATTCATGACTCAGCTTCTGTTGGCTTCAGACTTTTCTTCTGCAGCTTCTTCACTTCTCTCAGCCTTCATAGAACTGAAGAGAATTAGGGCCTTCCTCTTCATTACCAGACCACTAAAACTTCATATCAGCAATAAAGCTGTTTTGCTTTCTTACCATCCATTCATATGTTCACTGGAATAACACTTAATTTTTTTTCAAGAACTTTTCCTTTGCATTCACAACTTGGCGAACAGGCACAGTGAGGCTTTCTCAGCTTTCAACAACACCTTCCTCACTAACCTAAATCATTTCTACCTTTTGATTTAAAGTGGGCGATGTGTGACTCTTCCTTTCACTTGAACACTTGGAGGCCATTATAGGATTATTAATTGGCTTCATTTCAGTATTACGTGTTAGTGAATAGGGAGTCCTGGAGTAGGGTAGGGAACAGCCATTCAGTGGAAGTCAGAACACAGAACATTTATCTATTAAGTTTGCCATCTTACAGGCATGGTTCACGGTGCCCCAAAACAATTGCAGAAACAGCAAAGTCACACTGGCTATAGATTACCATAACAGTATAATGATGAAAAACTTTGAAATGTTGCTAGAACTACCGAAATGTGACAGTGAGTGTGAGCAAATGCTGCTGAGAAGATGGTACTGATAGACTTAATCAGTGCAGTGCTGTCACAGACCTTCAGTTTATAAAAACACATAAGCATGATAAAATGTTGCATAATAAGGTATGCCTGTACAGCCTTACATGAGGGTATGGCATTCATCTCCTAATTGGCATTATGGAACCACTGGTGACCATCAAGCAAATTAAATTATTTTTATGTATTTTCCAGACAGAACTAAATAGCCTAATACTTCATCGCCTCCCCCACCATAGTGATAGCAGATGGGGTAAATAAGAGTGTTTTGTTTTGTTAATTCTTTTTTTTCACCAAAGATTTTATTTATTTATTAGAAAAAAAAAAGATTTTATTTATTTATTAGACAGAGATTACAAGTAGGCGGAGAGGCAGACAGAGAGAGAGAGAGGAGGAAGCAGGCTCCCTGCTGAGTAGAGAGCCTGATGCAGGGCTTGATCCCAGGACCCTGGGATCACGACCTGAGTGGAGTGCAGAGGCTTTAACCCACTGAGCCACCCAGGTGCCCCTTGTTATTTTAATTCTGCCTCAGATTGAATCTAATTCATTGCCATACTACAAGGATTTAGGACTTCCTGTCCATTATCCACATACTGCCAGAACTGATTTACAGATTTTATAAGACTGTTAACTTCCAACCACATAAACACTGTCCATCTCCACAAAGAAACGTTCCTTCAAAAAAAGACATTTTCCTTCAGGAGTCTTTAGCAGCTTAAATCGGTGTGGTCTTGTTGACTGCTAGTTATATCCATGACAGGGTAAAATCCTTTTCTACTCAAGATACATAGTCCTGACCTAAGGTATGACAATAGTACCTATGTGAAGCATTGACACCATTTATATTTTCTTTAATCTACTGCGTTATATTGAAATTCTGTAACATTGGAGCTGGAAAAGACCATTAAAAACTTGGAAAAGTGCTTCACAAGATGGGCTGTGCAGCAAAATTAGCTACAGGAGCTTTTTGAACATCAAAGATCTCATCCCACACCTGCTACATCAGAATCTTCAGGAGAGCAAGGCATTTTTTTCACCTGTTCTATAAAATAATGTTGATGCCACCCTCCTGGTTTTAGCCCACAGACTAGTGTTTAATCTAGAAGTCATCATATTAGTACACCTCCTTCACTTGACAGAAGAAACTGAGCCTAGAGCCCAGTAGCAACTTCCTTGTTGTCTTATAGCCGGTTAATGACAAGCCAGACACTGCAGTCCAAACCAAGCAGGCGAACTCCAGCCTCTATCCCACCCTCTCTTAACCTTTTATACAAAACCTGTCTGCAGATACCCTCACCGAGGGCTTGCAAGTTGCCTCATTGGGGTAATACAAATGAGCTTGGAAACTACACTCCGAAGTATGTGCCAGATCTGGATCAGAGGCATTCACTTCCCCTGCCTTTGCCCAGTTATTGCTTAAGTGTCTTGCTGTGTTTTTCAGTTGGTAAGTCACATAGAAGAGATGCTGCAGACCGCCTACAACAAGCTCCACAAGTGGCAGTCACGGCGTCTCATGAAGAAAACGTGAAGGATCTGTGGCTCTCGCAAGTTTTTGTGAAATTGAGAGAACTGTGACCTGCAGTGACTCTGGAAACCTGGCCTGAGACATGCCAGTGATCACACAGAAGTGACGAACATCTGCACCATGCCAACTCTTGGAGCTGATGCTGTTGTACTTGCACATTGTGACCTGAAAGGAAAGGAACTGTGACTAAACTCAAAGCTGGGGAGGTAAATTAAGGCAGAACCAAAATGAGCTAAGTTGCAGATACATGTGTGTGTGTGTGTACACACACACACACACACACACATATATATATCTTAAAGAGACACTGTTTACTGCAGTTACTCAGGAACTGCTTTTGATTCACATTAAGCTGCTTTCAGAAACTTAAAAAAAAAAAAACTTTTTAAAAGGGTGCATTGATAAAATCTGAGGTGTTTTTTTTTCCTTTGTAAATTTTTTTCCTAAGTTTATGGCACAGGGTACACCTTAAGTATTTCTCCTCCGTCCTCCACTTGGATCCTCAAGCTGTACTGAATTCTAGTTGTCCCTTACATCAGCAGGTTAAGAGAGTACTTTCAAGTAAAGCAGAAGGAGACTGTTGCTCAACCATCAGGAAACAGTTATAGTCAGAAGACATCATTGGTCCTGTGTTTCCTACGGAAATAAGAAACAATAAATGTTGCACTGAATGTTTGTGGTTTGGAGTCCCTAAATGATTAAGAGGGAACATAACTTGCAGAAAGTTGCGTGGGGGTTTTTTATGCAGAATTTTGTCAGAAGACAATGGCGCTGCATGTTTTTCTTTGAGTGCAAATGTACATTGCTAAGATTTTTTTTTTAAGATGGCATGTGCTTTGAAAAGAGGAAATTGCATTTTTAAGAGTTTAAAAATCTTATGAGTGAGAAATATAAGAAATCTTACTTATTTTCACTTCTTTAGAAAAAAATAAAAGATGTTTCTCATATCTCCTTTTCTCCAGTATCTGTTACTGTCCTTGGCGAACCGATAATCATTGCATAGTGACTGAAAAGCCTAAATGCAAAAAAAAACAAAAAAACAAAACAAAACAAAAAAACATTGTTTCTGGAATCATGCCATATTTTGTTCCTAATAGGATCAACCCCTGTTTAAGACTTTATAGATGTCTTATATTTAAAAAGTAAAACTTTTTATAGATACTCTTTTAACTGTTAAGACATCTTGTGGTTTCTCATGGGTTACATTTATTTGGGTGGGCCACTCATTCTTTTTTAAAGCCATTGTACAAGCTGGTTGTCTTTCCTTTTTTTTCTTGCTTTTTAAAAAAAAATTTGTTTTATTGGAGTATGGTTGACATACAATGTTATCTGGGTTTCAGGTGTACCACATAGTAATTCAGCAACTCTCCATGTTATGCTCTGTGTTCACAAGCATAGCGACCATCTGTCACCATTTATTGCAGTACCATTGACTATATTCTGTATGCTGTACCTTCCATCCTTGTGACTGATTCTGTAACTGGAAACCCTGATCATCTTTCATATAATGGCTACAACAGGCTGAAAACCTGAACTTTGAACTGGTAAAAGAAAAGGGGCAACCTCCCTTTTGGCTTCAGTCTTCCCATTTCTCCTTCAGATCCGTATAGTAGTGGTAATCTCTTATACCTTACAGTTTTACAGAGTGCTTTTCAAATGTCTTATCTCGACAGTTACTCTAAGCAATAGTGATGGGTCAGGTAGAAGAATGTTCAAAATAGAAGAGTTTGTTTGTTGGGAAAGGCAGTTGTAAACAAATGCTCTGTTGAGTGCTCTGTTAAAGATTAAGTGATCAATGTAATGGAGACTGAAAAAAGAAACCATTTTGGGGAACTGGGTACCTCTTTACTAAAGAGGTAATATTTTAGCTAAGCCTTGCAGGTTGAAGAGGGCAAAGCATGATGAAGGTAGGAGGGCTTGGAAAAAGACCCTAGTGTGTTAGATTGGAGGATTGGGAATGACAAGTAAATGACTGGGGAAATCAGTGTAATTCAGGTTGTGAATGGTTTTGCATGCCAAAGTAGGAAATTCAGACCTTATCCTTTAGGCATGGGTTATGTCAGAGAAAATTTTGAGTAAGTTGTTTTTATGAGGGTGGGTTGGATGGTTGTAGATTAAAAGTCTGACAGTTAGGAAGGCCAAACCCCTAAAAGAATCAGACTGGAAATTAGGTCCAAATTAAAGAGGAGTTCTGGAAATTAGGAGGGGATAAGTAAAGACATTCTTAAGGTATGTGACCAACTCTCCCAGGAAATGAAGGATTTAAGGGTGATTTCACCGGAAATAGCTCTCAATTTCATGTCTAGCTTGTGTTTAAAGTATTTGATCTTTGGTGTCTTTTTAAAGTGGACTTTGGGGGGCGCCTGGGTGGCTCAGTGGGTTAAAGCCTCTGCCTTCAGCTCAGGTCATGATCTCAGGGTCCTGGGATCGAGCCCCGCATCGGGCTCTCTGCTCAGCAGGGAGCCTGCTTCCTCCTCTCTCTCTGCCTACTTGTGATCTCTGTCTGTCAAATAAATAAATAAAATCTTTAAAAAAAAAATAAATAAAGTGGACTTTGGCTGCCATTTAGGCCTATTACTTTTCCTACCTTTCCACTGTGGAAAAAGATAGTGCTTTTCTGGCTGTATGTCAACTTCATTCTCACAATAACAGTGAAGTGGGTAGGTTAAACAGATTATTTTACAAATTAGAATTTTTTTCCCCCTAAGGACTTTATTTATTTGACAGGGAGAGAGAGACAGTGAGAGAGGGAACACAAGCAGGGGGAGAGGGAGAGGAAGAAGCAGGCTTCCCACAGAGCAGAGAGCCTGATGCGGGGCTCCATCCCAGGACCCTGGGAACGTGACCTGAGCTGAAGGCAGAGGCTTAACGACTGAACCACCCAGGAACCCCAGAAATGGTTTAGATGTTAAGTGATTTACCCAGATTCATAGACCCAGTAAGTGCCAGAGCTGGGATTTACCCCGAACTTCTAAGCTGTGCAGTCCCTTAGGAATAAGATCCTTGTGTAGTTGGAAGCTTTTATTCCCCAACTCATGCCTCCTTTGGCTAGTTTTTCTTTTGACTGCCATTTTATTACTACCTCTGATTCTATTCTGTATTGCTTTTTTTTTTTTTTTAGAGAGATCACAAGTAGGCAGAGAGGCAGGCAGAGAGGGGCAGGGGGAAGCAGGCTCCCCACTGAGCCAGAGCCCAACTCGGGGCTCAATTCCAGGACCCTGAGATCATGACCCGAGCCGAAGGCAGTAGCTCAACCCACTGAGCCACTCAGGTGCCCCCTGTATTGCTTTTATATCAAATCACAGTATAGAGTTAGTCTGCCTAATGGGTCCCATTAGCCCGGTGGGCTGCAGAATATAATGGAAGCGCTTCCTTCCTTAGGAGGATGAGTTTCTTCTGGAAAGAAGAAGAAAGTCCGTAATGCTAGTTTGCTTTGGACTTACACTACAAAATGAATAGCCATGTTGTGATGCCCACTTCAGTCTGGGAAACTAAAGAATTCTTTTACACCTGTACCTAGAAATAGATAGGTAACCCACTCCTCCGGGGGGTGCAGTTTAATGCAGAAATTGATGTCCAGTTGGTATATATACCATCTGGAGCCAACAGCGGCCCTGGGATGGAAAGCTGCCCGTTTTAAACTTAGATTTGCTGTCTCCAGTGTCAAGACTTGCATGGGATTCCTCAGTGTGTTACCTCTGCCCTTTCCCAGTTTAGCTTCTTGAAGACTCAGCTGTTCTCCCAGTTCCTGAGGCCAAGGGAATCTCAGTTATTTTCAGTGCTTAAACTGTCCAGAGTTAGAGCATTGTCTAGAACCGGGTTCAGGGGTGGTCAGCCCTCAGTTTGCAGTCTGTGTTCTTGCTTGAGGGTATTCAAGTCACTGAAAAGACTTTAGAATTCCAGCTTTGGAACCATAGAATCCAGTTTCCATCATCTTTCATAGAGTTCCTAATACATACGACAAATGTAGAATTGGACCTGTTGAGGTAGAGACTCATTCCAATTCCTCTCACTGCTCCCCCACCCCCATCCCAACAATGTACTGAGAATACAACCTGAGAAACAGACTCTCTCTGGCCACCTAGCAGCCTGGTCTGTGTATTGTGATGGCTGATATTAGGAATAGACTGAAGTCGAAGATAAATTCTGGCTTAAATTTAAATTATACTTTTCTGTAGTCATAGAAATAAATAGCACGATGGTACTTAAATCCAACCTGTTAACAATTATATTAAATGCAAACAGACTGAACACTTCAAAAAACAAAATTTGGTCAGTTTGGATTAAAAAATAACCCTCAGTTATACACTAGTTATAATTACAAAAACGTCCACATTTACCTCACTGGACTTGCCCTCCCATCAGGTGTCAAATTCAAGTTCACTAGGTGTTAGAGCTCAAAGTTCTTTATTACTCAGATTTATTTCTCTCATTCTAGTAGCTAACTGTAGTGAACAGATCTGTGAAAATGAATGACTTATACAATCATTACCATTGGTGTCATTTTAAAAATTATTATGAAAGTACAATTTTTTTAAGGGTCGAACAGTATTGAAGTATATAAACTAGAAGGTGGTTCTATACCCTTATCACCAAATCTCACTCTGCTGAGACAATCTTCGGTGCATTTTCTTTTCTTTTTTTTCTTTTCAGATTTTATTTACTTATTTGGCAGCATGAGTAGGGGGAGAGGGAGAAGCAGACTTCCCAATGAGCAGGGAATCCAATGTGGGGCTTGATCCCAAGACCCTGGGATCTTGACCTCAGCTGAAGGCAGACACTTAACCGACTGAACCACCCAGCACCTCTCTTTCTTAATTTTCAGATTTTATTTTTTTATTAGAGAGCATGGGCAGGGTTGGGGCGGGGGGGTGTGGCAGAGGAACAAGACAGACTCCACACTGAGCAGGGAGCCTGATACAGGGCTTGATCCCAGAACCCTGAGATCATGACCTGAGCTAAAGTCACACTTAACCAACTGAGCCACCCAGGCGCCCCTCAGTGCATATTCTCATGGATATTTTTCTCTTCACTCAAAATTAATTTTTTTTTTTTCTGGGGCACCTGGGTGGCTCAGTTGTTGGTTAAGCATCTGACTTGTGATTTCAGCTCAGGTCATGATCTCAGGGTCGTGAGATCAAACCCCATTCAAGCTCCATACTCAATGCAGAATCTGCTTGAGAGTCTGTCTCTCCTTCCTCTGCCCCTTGCCCTCTCGTGTGCACGTGTGTACTCTCTCTCAAATAAATAAATCTAAAAAAACATTGTTTTTCTAGTCTACAACCTGAGATTTTTCTGGCAAGAGATGTCTGTGCATACATTCATGATCTTTAAGATAAACCTTGATAATGGGTCTCTTTAGAGAATCCATTTATGGTCCTACTTCTGCAA